AACTTTTTAATATTTAAGAAAAAATATATCAATAAATAGTTAATTAGAAGGAAAAAATGAAGAAAAATATGAAATAGTAAATAAGATTAATTAATAATAAAAGCAAAAGTTGAAAATAAAATAATTAGTTAAATTAACAAAGAAAGAACAAAAAAAAAGCACAATAAAAAAGAAAACAAAAAAGAGTTTGATTGTTTTTAATAAGTTTTTATAATTAAAAATATCACAATCCAAAACAAATAAACTGTTTTTACGAAAGCTGAAGTGTAAAATTTGAAAGATTAATGCAATTTGCTAAAGCAGAACCTAAGCCTGATGCATCTTCATCACCAATTTCATTGCTCCTTTTTAAATATTGAAGAAAAAATATATCAATAAATAGTTAATTAGAAGGAAAAAATGAAGAAAAATATGAAATAATATATAAGATTAATTAATAATAAAAGCAAAAAAAAATTATGAGTTAAATTAACAAAGTAAGAACTAAAAAAAACTAGCAAGTACAATAAAAAGAAAAAGAAAAAAGAGATTTATTGTTTTTAATTAGTTTTTATAATTAAAAATATCACAATCCAAAACAAATAAACATTTTTACTAAAGCTGAAGTATCAAATTTGAGAGATTAATGCAATTTGCTAAGGCAGAACTTAAGCCTGATGCACTCATTAAACCAATTTAATTGTAACTTTTAAATATTTAAGAAAAAATATATCATTAAATAGAGTAAGTTGCCATACAAATTTACAAAAAGCGAGTTTTATATACCAGTTTCTACATTTTATAAAATTAAAATTTAAAATATTTTTTTATCCCAGGGAATTCATTTGTAAAATTTTTCAAAATTTATTTTTTTCAAAAAAATGATATGTTATAAGAATATACAATATGTATATATTATTTCAAATTTATATTTTATGAATTTAAAGCTTTCTAAAAACTCAAAAATAAAGCTATTTTAAGCTAATTTAGCTTTATTTATTATGTTATTAAGCTATGTTAAATTTCGCCTTTTATAAATTAAATAGGCATTTTACTCTAGTTAATTAGAAGGAAAAAATGTAGAAAAAATACGAAATAATAAGATTAATAAATAATTGATAAAATTAACAAAGAATGAAAAAATAAGAAATCAAAATAAAAAGAAAAAGATAAATAAATAAATTAAAAGAGTTTTAATGTTTTAAATAAACTTTTTTAATTAAAAATATTACAATCCATAAAAAATAAACTGATTGCTTTTATTAAGTGTAAGTTTGCTTTAATAGCAAAAAATGAATAAAAAATATCAAATAACAAAAAATTAATAATAAATATATAATTAAAAATTGAAATCAATATGAAGTTAAAATAGCTAAAAAATTTTAGTTTGAATAAATATCAATAAATAAATAAATAAATAAATAAATAAATAAATAAATAATGATGATAATCATTAATTTCTATAATAAAAATTATTTATTTAAATAAATTGAAAGTTAAATATGTAAAAAATATTAATAATAATAAAAATAATCATTTTTAATTAAATATACTTCAGATTAATATGGAGAACCTAATGAGATTAAATTGAAGAGCTTAAAAACTTTTTTTATTAATTTATATAAATTTAAAGGATATTAATAAAAAAATTAATAATTACTTCTCCTAATCTATTATATTTTTTAATCTATTATATCATTTATTTTTTTTTCAAAAATATTGAATAGCAATTTATGAAATTTAATTAATTTTAATTAAATGGATAGAAGAACAAATAAATATAATAATTAATTAATATATTTGGTTTTAAGAAGAGATATCACAGAAAAATTAATTTAATATTCATTCATTATTTAATCTTAATATTTGTATTTAAAACATATACTTAAAAATTTATTAGGAATTAGAGATGGTCAGTTATTTATTTAGTCACATTTGATAAAATTCTAGTAATTAATTAATGTTCTTAAATTTTATAAAAATAATGTTTATAAGTTGATTTTTCTGTTTTAGCTATGTAATTTTAGGAATATTTGTAATAATGCCATACAAAAATTTCGTGGTTTGCATGCCACTTATTATGAAATAAATTTTTTATTTATTTATTAAAAAATCTAATTTTTATATTTTATAATAGAATTATAATTAATTAATAATTTAATTTATTATAATTTCAAAAATAAATAAATTTTTAATATATTAAAAACTAAAATTAAATAAATAAGTGTTAATTTAGTAGAGTCAGTCTATCACAATATTTAAAGATTTTTATGTAAAAATATAATATTATTTTTACAATACTTTTAGGAATAATGTTAAGGTTATTTGAAATTAATACTATTTTTAGAAATATAAATAATTATTACTTTTATATATTTTAATAAAATAGATCAAATCAAATTTTTTGTCTGTCACCTTCTATTTTATTTTTCTATTTCCTATTTCAAAATCAAATTGAAAATCAAAATTAGATTATAAATTTCAATATCTTGGTAGTTAAAAAAAAATAATTAAAATAAAAAAAAAACAAATAATATAAGCATATAAATATATCAATAAAAATGGATTCAGACAAACCTTCTTGCCCAGTTTGCCAATCTAAAGACAAAGTAGTCAAAATTATTTATGGACATCCTGCAGAAAAATTAATTAAATAAGCTGAAAGAAAAGAAATATTTTTAGGTGGATGCAAGCTCCCTCCCCGCGATATTAAGCCAGAAGGATGGTATTGCTTTACTTGTACAAAAAAATTCGATTGACAAATTGAAAAAGAAATTAACTGAATAATGAATTGCGATGATATGAATTTTAATAAAAATAAATATCTTTTTAAGTAAAAAAATAAAATTAATAATATGAAATAAATTCAAAAATTTTGTATTAAATATTATATTTTTTTAATTATTTTTAATTAAATTTTAGTCTAATATTAAAGTTATTATTTATCTCAATAAACTAAACATTTAAAAGATTGTTAATAATAAGTTTTTATTTTTTTTACTTTTAATTTCCTTTAGCAATATTAATAATTCATATTTCATTTTTTTTTTCATATTTGTGTCTATTTTGCTTGAAATAAATTAATGAAAAAATAAATTAAATTAGTTTATATATTAAAGAAAAAAACTAATTAGCTTTTATTTAAATAAAAAAATAGTTTCCTTTCTAATCTTAAAATAATTACTATTAGTTTTTAAATTAAATGACTATCTAAAATATAAGTATATAAGTAAGTAAGTAAATAAAAAATGTAGTTTATAAATAATATATATATATAATAAATTATTGTTCATACAGAGATAAATAATGTTTCATATTTAATTTTTTGTGTTTAATTTATCACTAAATTGTTTTTTTAAAATCTAAAAGTTACTAAAATACTTAAATAATAATGATGAGACAATTTTAATAATTAATATTTGATAAATTTAATGGCTTTTTTAAAACATAAAATTCTAGTCTAATAAAATGAAAATTTCTAAATTAAATAATTTTATAATTTGAGTTTTATTTTTTAATTAAATAATGAAAATAATAATAAATTAAATAAATAACTTGCTAATTAATTATCTAAGTTCAAAAAAATGGGCTATAAACAATAAAAATAATGAGCTGTTGAATATTAAAATGCTTTTATCTCTAGCTAGAAATAAAAATAAAGTAAATTAATTTATAAATATTCTCTTATTCATAATGAATTTAATTAAGTTTTTTTATTTTTAACAATCTAACTTTCATAATACTTACTTTTTATTTAATTAACTAAAAATTTATTCCTAATATGACGAAAAATAAATTTTTGATTTGAGTCAAGCATAGCTTAATGTAAAAATCTTTAAGAAACTTATGAATTTATAGCAAAATACTATTTAAATTTAAAATATCATAATTCTTTCTTTTTTTTCAACCAACCATATAGAATAAAATGGCTAAAAAAATATGCCACTTAGGAAAATAAATTCATTTTAGATGAAAAAAGTGTTCAGTATTATAAACACGAATTACATTAATCTTAAAATAGTTTATAGTATATAAGGAAAAATTTAAATAAATTAGTTATTACTTTCCTCAAAATTCATTTAAAAATTTTTATTTTCTTGTTTATCTGAGATAATTCTGTCTTTTAGTTCTAAACCCTTTTTTCCTCTTTTATTTTTTCTTAGGTTAAGCAATATTTCCTTTTGCTTATATTTATCTTAGTTTAGATATTTTAGTAATTTGATTATTCAATTTTCACTTTAATTAGAAAGCATTTCCCTACTATTTAAAAACTTCCTTATTGGTTTTATTATATCTTATTTAGTTTTTGTAGATACTTTTTTCTAAATTTTTTTATTTCTAAATGATATGATTACTTATTTGAAATATTAGTAAACATTTAATTAAAAAATATTTCTATTTTTAAATTTTTAGTGAAAATGAGTTATCAATAAGCAAATTAATTAATATTCCATACAATAAAATCTTCTATTTTAAAATAAAAGATCTTCGAGTTAAAGCTTAACTTTTGTTATCAAAAAAGATATTCTCTATAAAAATCAATTAAAAACAAATAGAAAGAAAAAATTGAAAATAATAAATTAATAGTAAAAATCATTTGTTTGTTTTTAAATTAAAAAAAGATTGATTTGCGAAAAATGAAAAACAGAAGTAAAATATTAAACATAAATCTTATTTTTATAATTTTGATAGCTAAATACTGTAAAAATGATAGTTATTTAGAAATCGCTTAACCAAGAAAAATTAATTCATTGGGTTGTGATTCAAGTATAATTGATTAGTTGATAAAGTAGAAAATTTAGTTTGTTTGTGAGTAAGACAATATTCAAATTTAAAATTAGGATAAAGTAGAATTTGGTCTAATTCTTTCTAATTCATTGATAACCAGTAATGTTAATATATAAAATATAACAATGGCAAAAATAAATTATCTGATTTTAAATGATATTTAATTTGATAATAGTAATTTTATCTCTATAAGCAACGTGAATATACTTTAAATAGACTAAATAAATATAAAAGAAATTTAATTAAAGTAAGCAGCTTAAATTATTAGTACTAATGACATTAATTAATTTAATATAACTAAGATGATTCTAAGAGACTAAATATAAAAAGAAGATCTTTAAGAATAGTTTATACTTAGTTCTAAAAATTTATTCATAGAAGATATTCAAATTATAAATCTTTAAGGCTATAAATTCTTGATTGAAGGAGTTGAATTATTGGAGATTAATAATATATTTCTATCTTATAGTAATATTATAGACTCAAATATTGAAAATAATATAGATTATGTTTTTTCTTCAAAGAAGCAAATAAATGTTGATACTATTAAGATTTATATTAACGTATTAGAATAATAAAGTTTTGAATATTACTTTTAGTTTAAAATTGAAGATTAATAAGATGAAATAGCATAAATAAATGTGTAAAAAATATAATATTAGGATGAGTCGTCTTAATTTTAAGGATATGGGCTTTTCAAATTCTTCGCTGAATACGATTAAAGAGAAAGCTTTTCAACTTTAGCGTAAACTTTGAACATAGGATTGATTGATTATTAATAATTAAATGATTAATCTTTCTTGCTTATTTAAGCAACTAATATCAAAGACATTTCTATAAATCAAACAATTATTCATAATTTTGCTAATAATAATGAACAAAGTTTATTTGAGTTTATATATGTAAATAGTTTCTAAATGAAATCTATCTAATTTACTTAGAATTCTAAGATCAGTAACAGTATAATTGTAGGAACTGCAGGGTCATTCTATTTAGAAGAAATAAACATCCATCAGTAAAACTAATTTTTAAAAGATTTTCTTGTTTTAAATAATTGCAACTCTATTATGATTAGTAATATTGTTATTACCAATACAGAATTTAATGAATGCCTTATTACTGTTTTTAATTCAGATTACTTTTATCTATTTAATACAACAATTCATAATATTACTTTTATTTAGAAATCACTCTTCTAAATTGCAAATGTTACTAGCTATAATTTGACTTCAATTAATATTTAACAAATCTAGACTTTCTAATCTCAGTCTAGCATTTTTAATATTGGTAAAGAATCATCTCAATAATCTGATTCTAGCTAGTTATTACATATAAATAATTTATACTCCGATTTGAAAAATCAGTAGAATTTATAGCTCCTACTTTCAAATGAAGCAATCAAATTTATAGTTATAGAAAATTCATAGATTATCAATGGATCATCTAGTGATTTTGGAGGTTGCATTAGTATGTATCTTAATTCAAAATCAAATCAATTGACACTCATAAATACTACTTTTAATTCTTGTATCAGTAAATATTTAGGAGGTGCAGTTTATGGTGTTTAAGTAATTAAAACTGATTAGTCATAAATTTTTAATTGTAATAGCTTAATCGGTGGAGGTTTTTACGTATCAAATATTTCAAATGTTAATGAAATAAATAAAATAAATTTCAAAAACAATAGTGCATTAATAGCAGATGATAATTACAGTCTAGGTATTTAAAGTATTAAAATTAAAGAAATTGTTGAATTAAATTTAAATATGGATAAATCGTTTTAGTTTATTCGAGTTCAAAAGTATTTATATCCTGGTATTATGTATCTTATAAGATTATAACTAAAGATAAATAACTAATGGTATACCTAATTCAATGATAAAGATCTGATTTCTAACATGTATTAATTTGTAAATGATCCTACAGAATATTATGTTTCTATTACTCCTAATGAATTAGAATCCATTTAATATCCTTATATTCTTTGGTAGGCATTTGAAATTTCTTAATCAATTAATCAAACAACTTAATTTATACTTAATAGTTTGTTTTAAGAAAAATTTTTAGTAGACTCTAGCTAGTATCAAATTTATAACGGTTGTAATTCATAAGGTATGGAAAAGATATAGTTAACAAGCTATGATAAAAATAGATTTTCTTGTAGATACTGTGAATATATGAAATCTGGGTATTAAAACCAATGCTAAACTTGCCAATCTGAATATTTTGAAGAATGTTATGCTAATTATTCAAAATTAAGATCGTCTTATTGGAGATCTAAATATTCTATAGACTCTTCTGATATTCAGCATTGCTCTATAAATCCCTCTAGTTGCTAAGGAGGTATATATTAAATCTTTAATTAAATTCTTATTTTAATATCATTTTTAAAAAAATTAATTAATTAGGAAAAGGAATTCGAAATGAGTTATGCTTTGAAGGACATATTGGACCATAATGTTTAGATTGTGATACAAATAATACTTATTGGAATGATACTTATGCTCCTTCAGGTATTTTTTAATGCACAAAATGCAGTTCAATTCAGTCTAATACAATTAAGATCATACTATCATTTATTGTAGTTTTTTTGAGTTTAGTAATGATAATATTATCTACTATTAAAAGATAATAAAATGAGCTTCATGCTTTATATTTATCAAGAATGGGTATTTTTTTTATTGGAAGAACTCTCTACAACAAAAGTCTTACTTCAACTTATATGAAAATTTTTATTTTTCATACATCTATTTACTTAATATCTATTAATCTAAAAAGTATTGATATCATATCTTCTATTATTTCTACATAATTTCTTATTTATAATCCTCTACAATAATCTTTGATTTCTTTGAACTGCTTTTTGTCATAGTTTAGATCACAATCTTTTAGTATCGGATTTCTGAATGTCCTATTAACTTTCATGATTCCAGTTTCTTTATTCTGTTTTATCATTGTAATCTTAGGTGTAGCTCTGCTTTTGAAAAAAATAGATTTGAAAAAATCAGCTTATGCAGCTAATCTCTCTCTCATATATATATTTATAACAACATTCTTTTCTATTTTGCTTGAAAACTCATTATCTAGTTTTATCTGTCTGAATCTTGACAAGGGAAATTCATATTCATTAATTGATCTTAATCTATAATGTGTAAATTCTGAAGATTTATAAAAGATTTAGATTTTAAGTTTCTTTATTTTATTAATATTTTAAATACTATTTCCTCTATATACATTTAACAGACTGATATGGTTTAAAAACAAATTAAGAAATGTAAAAGTTATGTTTACTTATGGCTTTCTATACAATGAATATAAAATGAAATATTTCTATTGGGAATTAATTAGATTAGTGGTAAAAACTCTATTAGTTGTATTGAATGTCTCTTTAAAATAATATTCATTAATTGCAGGAGTGATTATATCTTTACTTTTACTATCATATTTATTAGCATTATAAGCATATTAGCCTTTTATTTCATTATTCTTGAATAAGTTTGAAAAAATTTCTATAGTAATTTCAATTTTAACTTTAAATTCAACAATTATTTTGAATTAATTCAATTAAAGTTAAAATTATTTTAGTTTAATTTTCTTTGTAATAACCTAATTTCTCAATCTGCTATTTTGCTTATATAATATTTGGCTAATATTAACTTCCTTTATACAACAAAAAATGTCTTAATGGAAATGCTTTGATATACAATTGCTAAATTGGATAATACCAAAACCTGGATAATTATTTAAGATAAACGATAATATTAAGAAATTAATCAAATGTGTAAATTATTTAAAATACTATGAATAGTAACAATAATAACAATATGAATATTACTGTCCATTTTACTTTTAAGAAGATAAAGAATGAATCTTGCTTGATAATATCATAAATAATGTATTATTTTTTAATGTATGTTTTTAAATATAAATTTATATAATTTATTTTCTCAATTATTATTAACATCCATTTTTCAAACTTAAAGTTCAAAAAAAATTTAATTTTAAATGGCAAACTTAATATAAATTGTGACTAGTTTATACTATTTAGGAGGGGATAGAGTATATTTTTTATAAAGGAATGGTTTTTTATTTTTATATTTTGCCTTTAATTATTTTTTCAGTTACTCAAATAATATACATGACAAATCCAATCAAATGAACAAATGACAATTAGAAATATCATAAAATAAAAAAATGTATTGCTGTATTAAAAAATAAATATAAACAGAATTGATTTAAATTTCTCAAAACTAAATAAATTTGATGTAATTTACTTGATAATAATTTATAAGTTTAAATAAAAAAGAAGATTACTAGATAAAGTCCAAAAGTTATTAATATTATAGATAGATAATTAAAATAATGGGTTGCACTTCTTCTAATTAAGTATAAAACGCTCAAAAAATATAAAGTAGCAAAGAGAATTAGTTTATAAACCATAGTTACTTTATCAAAGAAAATGAAAAGCAGATCAAAGATAACTATATTATTAAAAACAAGCTAGGTGAAGGAAATGTTGGAGTAGTGAGGAGGGTCATTGAAAAAAATACAGGTGATGAAAAAGCAATGAAAATAATACCTAAAAACCTTTAAGATAAGGATTAAGAACTACAGCTTACTATGGAAATCGATATCCTAAAGTAGCTTGACCATCCATCAATAATAAAAATGTATGAATTCTATCAAGACAAGAAAAACTTTTACATAATCACTGAAATAGTAAAAGGAGGAGAGTTGTTTGATAAGATAGTAGACATTAACTCATTTAATGAAATTGATGCTGCTTATATCTTTAATCAAATTATTTCAGTAGTTTAATATATCCATGAAAAAAAAATTATGCATAGAGACCTAAAACCTGAAAATGTTCTATTGGAATATGACTCAACTAGTCAAAATCCTACTAAGTACTCCATCAAAGTATATAAATAAATATATGCTTTTATAGCTATTAAATAAATATTTCTTCTTTAATTTAAAAAAACCGTTTTTTCTAAACAAACTTTAACATTAAAAAAATAATAGGTTATTGATTGGGGAACTGCTACCATATTTGATGAAAAAAAGCAAACAAAGATAGTAGGCACACCCTATTACATAGGTAAATCAATGGATATATTTAAATTATCTTTTTATTTTAGCTGTAATAAAAAATTATAATCAAAACAATCAATTTAATTTGCATTTATATGAAAAGTTTTTAAAAATGTTGATTATAAAATGATTCTTTTCTCTATTTCTTTTGAATTTTTTATGAAAAAATGTCAAAAAATTGTTTAAATTTTAAAATTTAAACATATAAAATATAATTTATTGCAAAATGGCAATTAAAATAAGACTTTATTTGTATTAAATAAAATATAGCTCCTGAAGTTTTAAGAAAAAGTTATACAGAGAAGTCAGATATTTGGACATGTGGTATTATTTTGTATATTATGCTGACAGGAGAGCCTCCATTTTTTGGTAAAGAAAATGAAATCGTGTAAAACATTATGGATTGTAAATTCAGTATGGATTAAGATGTATGGAAAGTCATTAGCGTTGAATGTAAAGATCTTATTAAATAGATGATATGTCCTGAAGAAAAAAGATTAAGTGCAGCATAAGTGTAAATGCATCCATGGGTACAGAAACATATTGCTTTATTCAAGGAAAGCTTGAAGGATAGTAAAGTAGAATAGAATAAACTTTAATTGAATAAATTAAAGAAATTTACAACAAAGAACCGCTTTCATTAAGCAATTCTAACCTACATATCATCATAACTTACTTCAAAAGAAGATCTTCTGCAATTCAAATCTATTTTTGAAAAGATGGACTTAAATAATGATGGATAGCTTACTAAAGACGAAATAGAGAGTGGATTTAAATAATTCTAAGAGTTTTTCCATGGAGACTATGACATTGATAAGATATTTACAAATGTCGATTTAGATGGTAATGGAAAAATAAATTATTCAGAGTTCATAACAGCCTGCATTTAACATGAAAATAGTATGATAGATTCTAAATTGCAAAAAGCTTTTGAAGTTTTCGATTCTGATGGAAACAACTATCTAACTAAAGATGAACTTATGGATATATTTGACAGCAAATTCAAATAAAGTGATAAAGAAAGTTAAATCAAATAAATCTATTCTCAATTTGACACTAATGGCGATGAATAAATTAGCTTTGATGAATTTAAGCTAATGATGAAAAAGTATGCTGAAACTTCTTGAGTATTTTTATCAAAACATACATTTTTGAGCACAATATGGTTTCCTTTTTATCTTTAAAGTTTTATTCTTCTTTTCCTCAAAGGAGCAAATATTTTACTGAATATTATTTGAATTCGCTTCAGATATTTTAATAGAAGATTTATATTAAATTAAAAAGCAACAAAATAACATTTCTATTCAAAATATAAATTAAAAATTTCATGTTTTTATATTCTTATCTATTCAATTAAGTAGATTTTTAAAATTATAAAATGTTAGGTCTTTTATATTTACATATATATTTTAAAAATTAAATATTTTAAATAAAATATTAATTGTGTAATAAAATAAATCAAATTTTACTTCAATTTTATTTATTAAATTTCCTTCATTTTTTTTTATTTAAAAAATATAAAAGTTTAAATGAGCAATTTTTGACAATAAATTAAATTTCTAAAACAAATTTGTGATTGATGATAAAAATGATTGTTGAAATAAAGATAATTAAATCTTTTAAATAATATTTGTTAAGAATTTTAGAATTAATTCCTTATTCAATAGTTTGTAAATTACTGAACATTTTTTCAGTTTTTAAAATATTATTTAAATTGTATATTAGCAATTATTTTGTAAGCTTTTCCATTTCATGTCTTTAATATTTTTTGATATTTATTATAATTTTTTATATCATAGTTTTTCAATTTCAATTAGTTACTTTTTCTTTAGCTAAGAAACAAACAATAGCAATATTATAAAAAATAATCAAAGCCAACTATTTATAATTGAGAGATGTCTAAACCAAAAAAGAAAGGAGATAAAAATGAAGAGAATCCTAATAAATTAACAGAGGCATAAGAAAAAGCTTTGAATGCTTAGTAATATTTGAATTATATTATTTATAAAGCAGCCATCTAGAAAATTATCAAATCTGGATATTTATTGAAATGACGTTATTAATATTGTTATTAATTTATAAATTATACAATTAGAGATAAAGGTAAATGGGAGGAAACAATTATTCAGATAAAAGAAGATATTGCGTCGAAGTAATATTCATTTTTTTATTTCATTTTAAAAAGAATGTGAGTGTTCTGAATCAATAAAGATGATGAATAGTTTATTTAGTTGAATTCAAAATAATATAAAATTAATTCAATTTTGTTGCAAAAAAAATTAAGGGTTTAGCTCATATATGAATTGAATGAAACAATAAGAATTAATAATGAAGAAAACGTAATATATTTTGATTATTAGAATAGGCATTCTAGATATTTTTAAAATATGGAAAGACAATTTTGTACTTTTTATAACTGCAAATTAGTCAAAGAAGATTTTGAAAATATGGAATGACTTTAGTTAGATATAAATTGATGAATATAAAATTTTATAAAATATAAATAGAAAAAATTGAATTAAAAACTAGAATTCGATAGGGATGATAAACTTTAGCAGTAGTAGTTTTTATAAAGTTAGTATGAAAAAGAAAAGAATATTTTTGAAGAGAGGCTTATGAAAAAAGAAGAAATTAAAAAGATAGATTAAGTGAAATTTGATGAAGAAAAACAATAAGAACTTAGAGAATTGAGATAAAAATTAGATGAGTTAAATACTGAATTAACACCTCTTAGACCTTATCATGTAATTGAATATATCAATATTTTAGAATTTAGCTTATTGTTTTATTAATTAGGAGAAAGAAAAATATTACTAAGATAGAATTGATCAACTTCGTAGAGAGGAAAGAGATTGTGAATTGGCTCATCATGATGAACTTTAGAGATAAGAAAAAGAATAGTCATAAAAATTAATTTAAATGGATAACATTTCTTAAGCAAAAATAGATGATAATAAAAAGAGTGCTCCAAAAGCTGCAGAAAAAGGTAGAAGATTAATTTTTAAGTTGTATTTAGATTTACTTATAAAGTTTATTTATAATCTAAATAGATGCTAGAGATAAAGAAGAATTAAAGATTTAAAATAATTAATAGCTGAGACAATAGTTGATTATAAAGTAAAGAGAAGTTTAAGAAATGAGAAGAGAAAGAGATGCAGTATTGAAATAAAACAAAAATTTTAAGCTAAACCTTCAAGTAAACAAAGAAGGTATACTCGAATACTAAATTGTTAATTAAAGATAAGAAAATAAGATTAAAACTCTGAAAGAAGAAGTAGAAACATTAAAATAACAAATTTCAGATGTAATTAAATCATTTTTTAGAAGAACTTTTATTTATATTTTTTATTATGTTATTAAAAAAGGATGTTACTAAATAAACAAAAAATTTAGAATTCATGAAGCTTTAAGATAAGTAAAAGAAAGAAGAATTGTAGAAGGAAATAGCTTGTAATTGAATTTATTTTTATATATTATAAAAATTAATTTTTAATATATTTAGTCATAAAAAACGAGTTAAAAATCAAAGTTGAAGAGTTAAAAAGAGTAAAAGCAATAGCAGAAATAATTGTTGATTAGCGCTCTGACATTGAATAATTCTTCTTAGAAGCTTTACAAAAAGTTAAGGAATAGATAAGTTAAAAGTATAAAATTAACAAAAGATCTTATTCTAATAGTAGTTCTCTAAAGTTACCTGAATTATCAATAAAATCTAATTAATAAGTTGACGATACAAAACAATAAAATAACTCCAAATTCTATTAAGATAAGGTAGATGTATCCGAATTAGATTTAGAAGAAAAAGAAAAACTTCTTAGAATATTATTCAGAAAAATGAATATAGGAGTCCAACCATTGTCATGGGATGAAAATCGATGAATAATATAAAAAATAAAATAAAAAAAACGATAAAAGAGTAAGAAAAAGCCAAATTAAATAATCAACAAAGAACAAAATAAAAAAACAAAAAATATTTATCAATAAATTATCAAAAAAATATTGAATTTAATAATTAAGTTTTTTGATTTTAAATCATTAAAGTTTATACTAATAATTAATTAATAAAGTTTGCTAAAATATTTTTATTAGATTTATTTTAGTTAATTTTATTTTGCTAACAAATTATGTTAGATTTATGTTATTTATAATGTAGAAAGCATCTAAATACATTTAACTTTAACTAAAATCAATTTTTTATTTTTTCGTAATGTATTCTTTTTCTTTAGAAAAAAATTAAATTGTAATATCAACACTGGGTATAATAAAAAAATAAAAAATATTTATTTAGTAATTTCATTTGAATTTAATTTTTAATATTTTTAATTTGGAATTATTAAATTTTATAATTATAATAATTAATTAAAAATTGAAGTTTACTAAAATATTTAAATTTGATTTATTACAGTTAATTTGAAATTATTAGATTTTATATTATTTTTTAATATCAAAAGTTAATGAATCTAATTAAATTTAATAATATAATATTGTCAATTTTTCTTATTTGAATATATTTTTATTCACATAATTCATGAAAATAAAAATTTTTAGTAAAAAACTATGATAAAATTTTAATGAATTAAATTTTTAATATTTTTTATTTGAAACTAAAATAATATGCACGAACAATTAATAAATGAAGCTATTTTAATTTGATTTATTAGTTAATATGAAATTATTCACATTTGTGTTATTTTTAATATCAAAATTTACTGAATTTATTAAAATAATATTGCAAATTTTTTCTTTTTTCAATATATTTTTATCCACATAATTCATAAAAAAAAATATTTAGTAAAAAATATCATGAAAACGCATTGAATAATTAATTAAATTTTTAAATGCTTTAATTTAAAACTACAAAGATTTACACTAAAAATTAATAAATGAGGTTGTTTGCTGATATATTTTAATTTGATTTAAATCTAAAATTACTAATAATTAATTATATTAGATTTATGATATTTTTAATATAAAGAGATAATCAATCCAATTAACTTAAGTTAAATAATAATATCTTTTTTTTAAATATTTTTATTTTTTAAAGAATTAAATGAATTCAAGATAACTATTTTAACATGTCTATAAATTCTTAGTAAGAAAGTTTACCATCTTTGTTTTTATCACCTTTTTCTAAAATTGTTTACCACATTTTTTCAATGTTCTTATCATCGTTGAACTGAGATTGTAGACTTTAGAAAAGCTCCTCTTTCGTAATAAACCCGTTTTAATCTTAATCAAAATAAGAAAATGCTTATTTCAACTTAGTATCTTGTTATAAATTAATTTTATCCATAGCAACAGATATAAATTCATTATAATTGATATATCCGTTCTTATTACAGTCAATTTTTTAGAATAATTCATCTAAAAATTAATCTATATCAGTTATCTACTCAATAAAAAAGCCTTCAAAACCACTTCTTATTTCTTCTCTACTAAGTTAGCCATCTTTATTAACATCAATTCTTTAGAAATCTTCAGTAAGCTTTTACATTTCATCATCCCCAACTAGATAAAAGCCAATAAAATTGACAACTGCTTGGTAGAATTTAGAATGAGAATGGTAACTCATCATTTGAATCAAGTCTTTTTACCTTAATTCTTTTTATTTTTATAAATTTTAAATATATTTTTCATCATTTTGATCAAATTCCTAAAAAATATCTTTAAAATACTAATGATCTAGTATATCCTAACATTTCATTCTTTAATCTTATGAAACAAATATTTTTTTAAAAATTTCTTAAATTTAGCTGTCATGTTTAATTGAAAATCCACAACTATATCTCATTTAAATGTTTTAAATAGCTTCTATAGTCTTTTTTCTATTAATCCCATAAAATGGAGGCACACCCATCAAGATTAAAAACCAAATCACACCAATGCTCCAAACATCTGCTAAATAGTTATAACTTTTATTTATTTCTTCAGGACTTTTGTAAGTTATATTATTTATTTGTTCAGAAAATGTATCATTTTCCTCAAAGCTCCTAGAAAAAAACCAATTTATTATCTATATTTTATTGCATAAAAAATAAATATTTTCTTAAATAAAATATAATTTTTTTTATTAAAATTTACTAAAAAAAGTAATTTAAGAAAAATAAATATAAAAAATTTGTAAAAATCTACAAAGATATTTCAAATAAAAATGAAGAAATCCAAGCTAAAATAAATTTATTGTAAAAATCTATTTGTTAAAAGAAAAATACAATAAATTGCTTTTAAAGTAATTAACTTTTGAAGTTATCTTTGTATTTTTTTATTACTTTAAATTAACGCTCACTATATTTTTAAAGCTTGAATGGGCTATTTTTTTATTAAGTCTTATACGATTATAACATATTGCTTAAAATAAATAATTTTGTCATTTAATTTTATATAAATTAAATATTTTAACAAATCAATAAATGTATTACTTTAATTGATACTTAGTTGGTCTCTTCATCTATGTTTAATAGAATGTTTTAAGGAGTGATATTTAAGTGAGTTATCTTCTACTAATGACAATAGTTTATCGCAGATAGCAATTGTTAGACTATTGATGCTGATTGAGTTTCTGGCAAATAGCTTGTTTCCTATATATATTCTATGAGCTAACCTCCAAGCAAAAGTTCAAATATTAAATAATAAGCATATCTATCTTAGTAATATTCATACAGCTTGATAATGTTAGGATGATCTAATTTGCTTAAAATTTTTATTTCATTTAAAACTTATTTTTCTTTCACCCCTAACTTATTTTTAGCAACTATCTTTAATGCCCTTGACTGTCCAGTTTTTTTATGCTTCACAATTCTTATGTCACCAAATTCTCCCTATGCTAAATGTCTTTCAAAAAAGTAGTCTTCCCTAATGTCTTTCGAGTTTATTTCTTTGATATACATTTCTTTCTAAATTAAAATTTATTATTCCTCTTTAGGGATAGGCGAATTTTTTTTATTTCCTTTTTGAGAATTCGCTTAAGTTTAAGCTGTTTTTTCATCACTTATTTATTTCCTTTCGATATCTCTAACTTAAGAATTTCCGCATCCCATTTTAGCAGTATCTATCTCTTATTTAATCACTAATTATAGATAGATAGATAATAGATAAAGCTTGGATTAAAGATTATTTGAATCAATATTTTTTAATTAAATAATTAGATTTTTTTTTAGTAAATATTCTTCACAATTAATCATAAATAATTAGAAATCAATAGTTGCTTTTATCTAATTGATTTATTCAATATAATTAATAACATTCAACAATAAAGTCAAACAATATACTATTTTTATTATTTAACTTGTTTTCTTGAAAGTATTCAAAATTATTAGCAATATATCTATTGAGGTTTCCTACTGATTAAAACGTATTAAACAAAATAAAGTTAAATAAATTTTATTAAAAGTAAGATGCAAATTATGCTAATAAAATCTTTTCTAAATTAGCATTACATATTAAATAAAAGCTTCTAATCTAAGAGTTTTAAATAATTTAGGTTCGGACTTAAAATTATAACTAATTTACTTGAATAAAATTTTTAAAATTTTGCTATTTTTGTTTAGCTAATCTTAATATAGATTTTATTAATAATAAAATTAGAGTAAATAAATTATTTTTAAAAGAAAAATTAAAATTATTAAGATATAACTTTTTCTTAAAAATAAATATTTAGTAAATTTTTTTAAAGTTATGTTTATTTTATTTAGTTTTAATAAATTGAGAAAAAAAAACCATTTCTTTAGCTATTTTAAAGATTAGCATATATTTATTGAGAAATATTTATTTATTTTTAATATTAAGAAGAAAAAATTAAAATTATTTACATAAAATTTTTTTTGAATTTAAAAATATTAAGAAAATTATTTTAAATTAAAATAGCTATTTTATTTAACAAACTATGTAATGAAAAAAAAGTGTCATTTATTTTGCTATTTTAATACTAAGCTTGCTTATTTTAGTAAAATTTTGAATAAACATTTTTTATTTATAGTTATATGAAGAAATTCTTCAAAAATTAAAATTATTTGCATGAAATTTTTTCTTAATTAAAATTAATAATGAGAAAATTATTTTTTTATAAATACTCTTTATTTTTAATGAAGATAAAATAAATTATTTTGCATTTGAAAGCATTTATTTGAGGAGAATTATAAATAAATGTAAAATTTTTAAATTATTTTTGAATTAGATTTTATAAAAATAAACTATTTACAATATATAATTTTATATAAAAATTAAAATTTTTGTTATAATATAAATAAACTATAAAAATTTTTATTAATCCTTCATTTTTGTTATAAAATAATGTCTTGTTTTTATTAATCAGAAGATTCCGCATATAAATTCATCATATATTCAAATTCTTCGAATTCTATTTTTCCATCTTAGTTTTTATCTGACTGCTCTAATATGAGCTACCATAAACTAGAAAATATGGGGTCTTCTTAAGTATTATTCAGAATGCTATTTTCTTAAGAATTTCCTATTATGTTCGCTAATTCATCTTAAGTAATGTAGCCATTTTTATCTTAGTCAAAATAATTAAAAGCTTGCAATAACTTTTCTTTTTATTGAGAGTTCTATTTGTCCATGGTGGCTGAAATAAATTCTGTAAAATTTATGACTCCATTATTGTCAAGATCAATTTAATCGAATATCTCTTCTAAGTTAATTTAGCTCAATTCTTTTTTCGAATAAATTTATTTGTAAGCTGTCTTCAACTCCTCTTTCGTTAGAATTCCATCACCATTTAAATCAAGCTATTTAAATTATTCTCTTAAATAGTTATACTCTTTTTTACTAATCATTTTGAAGGCTATAAAATTAAGCACTGCAGCTTAGAATTTTTGCATGCAATTGAATTATCTTAATTTCATTAAATTTTTCTTGCATTCATGCTTACTAGACTCCACGCTTGAACATCTAGTCATTTCTAATTGAGCAAGATACTTTTTTTTAGGATCTTCTTCCTCCTAAAAACTCAACTTAAACCAAGGATGATTTAATGCTTATTACGCAGTCAATCTCTTATCTTATGAACACAATAATTTTCTAATCAAATCCATGCATTCTTAGCTTACACTATGCCAAGACTCCTAGTTAAATTTATACTTCATAGCTAATATATTTTTTTATATTGTCTAAGGAGAATCTCCAAAGGGAGATTCCCCACTAATTAAAATAAACAATATAACTCCAATGCTCCAAAGATCACACTTGTAATTGTATTTTTGCTAATATTGTTCAGGAGACATGTATAGCTTTGTTCCAAAGAAGTCATAATATAATTCATCTTACTCGAATCTCATTGCTCCTCCCCAATCTATAACCTAATTAATAAATAAAAAAACCTCTTTAGAATAAAATCGAAGAAGTCTATTCAAAGTATTTAATTTAGTTAGAAATCAATTTTGATGGACTCTTTTTTTTTTATTGGTAAAATATTTATAAAATTGTATTTCGAGAGCGCTTAAGATTATTAGTAATTCGAGTGAAAACTATATGAAAAAACAATAAAAATTTAATCAATATTTCTGCTTTATTCATTGTTAATTTTACATTTTTATAAAATTCATACTAAATATATTTGCAAAATTAGAAATTCGTTATTGACAATATATTGGGTCAACTGTTCAAAAGTCAAATTTAATTATTATTTTATTAAAATAGATTATACTATTTATTTCAAAGACATTTCAAGTAAGCTTATTTTTTTTAATGTGTAAATTAGAGTTCTTAGAAAAATTTTGATACTTAGAAAAAATATTTGCAGTAAAATAAAAAAAAATACTGCTAGAATTGAAAAAATCCTTTTTTATTTTACTTTAATATTGAAATTATCAGAAGAATCAACTTCTAATAGGATATTTTCAGGTTTGAGATCTCTATGCATTACATTTTGACTATGAGCATAAATGATAGCGCTCAGTATTTATCTCATAATTTCTTGTGCTTATTTTTCTTTCAACATGTTACCTTCTGATATTTTATCAAATAGTTCACCACCTTTTAGAAGCTCCAAGACAACATAAAAATTGTTTTTGTCTTCATAAAACTCATAAATTTTTAAGATGTGTGGGTGATCTAGTGATCTAAGAAGTTCTATCTCATTTAATGAATACTTTTAAGCTTTTTCTTGACTCTTTTAAATTATTTTAACTGCCCGTTCTTCATTTGTTATTTTATGAACCACCTTTTTGACTACTCCAAAATGCCCTTAGCCAATTTGATTATGAATTATGTAGTCTTCCCAAATTTTACCATTATTTTTCTACACAAACATTTTATTCTACATTTTTAATCTGTTCGTCAGCTATCTTCTAAATTTGTAATTATTTCCAATATCATTATCCTTTAAATCTCTAGGTTAGCAAGTATTATTTAATTAGCTTTAACCACACCCCATTTTTTATCTTTCTTTCTTGAAGTTTACTTAGATAGGATTTATTTATTAGCTTTAAATAAGAATAATTTATTTGTGAATATTATTTTTCTTATGGTTTTGTTTATAATTTTTTTAACTTAATTAAATTTTACAGCTTTTAATTATTCATTAGTAAACTAATTTGATTTCTCTTATGTTTTTTTGATTAGCGGACCAATGATGTCTTAGATTACATTTTGTGGTAACAAGACATATTACACATTAAATATAAATTTTATACTTTGGGATTTAGAATAAAGCTTTAACTTTCTCATTTATTCACATAACACCAAATTTTTTAAAATAATGATTTTAGATATGCTTTCAATTAAAATTTTTATAAAAGATTTGTTCTAATACAATATTACTATAAAATTTAAAATATTTTTTTATTCAAATATTTTTGTTGGTTATAAAATTCTTAATAAATTCTAAAATAATGGTAGATAATAGTTAAATGATCAAATAAGAGAATAAAAATTTAGCTTTCAGTTGATTTTGATTTAAAAATGAATATAAAAACCATTTAATTCGTCTTTTAAATTAGTTATTTAAGAAAATAAAATATTATTTAATGATTTTTTTTTTTTTTAAATATCAATCAACCTTTTAATTAATTATTTAAAAATATTTTTTTAAATATTTTTTTATTTTATTTTAAATTTTAATAATAATTAGGCACATTTTTGTTTTCAATTTTTTATTAAAATCTAATTATTTTTTTCAATCAAAGTAGATTTGATATTTTTATGAGTTGGACATACAATTTACAATTTTACAACAAATTTTTAAAAAAAGAGAAGATTTTATTGCTTTACATGAAAACTAATTCATTTAATTAAATTTAATATATAAAAAAGTATTGCTTTAATATTTTGTTTTTAGGTTTGTTGTTTATATCATTTGTTAGATCAATTTTTAGGAAATTTTTTAACAAAAAATAGATAAAATAGCTCAGCCTCAATGAATTTAATTTATTTTTATATTTTTGTTATCATTTGCTGCTTAAATATTGCTTTGAGTTAATTTAATATCTGCTCATCTTTAGAAGAAATAGCTTGTAAAACCAACTTTAAAATTATTATTAACTTTTCAATATTTTGTATAAAAAGGGCTGAGATAAGGGTCTCAATAATAAATAAAGGTATTCTTTCCTATACCTGATACAAACATTATAATTTTAATGACTACTTAGCAAGATTTAATTAAAAACTAACCTAGCTCATTTATTTATGTCATATAAAAACCTTCTTAGTCTGTTTTAAACTCTTAATAACGTAATTTAAACTTCTACTTTCATTATTAAAATAAATAAAATTAATATTTTTCATTTTAAGTAAACTAAAATATTTTTTTAATATAAAGTACCAGTTAAACTAGTTTAATTATCATTTTGTGACGTAACAAAAAAGCTTATAGGATTTAGTTCTACCTTTTATTACACGATAAGCGTTTATTCTTTAAAAATTGAAAAAATGATATAGATTAATTCACAAATTTATGATGCTTTAATACTAAAAAACACAACTATTTCTGTAATTGCAACTAAATAATCAATTATAGCACAAGATATTTTATCAGACTTATAAATATCTAAACTTTTACTAAGTAAATATTTTATTAATTATGCATTTTTTATTTGAAATAAGAACCAAAAAGAAATAAAGATATATTTTAATTTGATATTTAAATTTAATAAAAAAAATTGTAGATACTTCTATATAATTTATGAGTACATATATGCTACTGAGTAATATTGAGCTAGTTTCATTTGTTACGTACCCAGTTTAATCTGATTAAATATCATTGTAATTCTGGGAACCTATTAAAAATGTATCATATGGATCGATATAGAGTATTAATTAATATTTAATGCATTTGACAAGTTTGAAATTTATAAAATGTTTGAATAAAAAGTGTAGACAAATGTAAATCAAGTGACTTCACTCAGAAATTTGATAGGAATTAAGAAATATTTTGGTTATGATTATGCCTTCATCTATTTGGTGTCAGAAACTGTTTACTTGTTTGATTTAACTAACTATCAATAATAATAATTTAAATTGTTAAGTTCATTTTGTAAATTTATCATCTTTTTATCATTTTAAAAATGTATTATCAATAAAATAATAGCTATTGATTAACTTTATAACTAATATGGAATGAGCAATCAAATACAGTAAAAAGAAAAATTCTTCTCTGGGCTATTAATTAGCTATAATAACGATTTACTTAGAGTGACAACTTTTGATACTAATGGAAACAATTTTGTATTAAAATTCCCAAAAATATATAATAATAACACCAGTGCATTTGTTATTTCTTATTATTTTAATTAGAGTAACTGGAATTTATTAGCTAATAACCCTTAATCATAATATATTTACATTATAAATGAATTAAATTATGCTAAATACTATATTGGAGATAATTAAACTATTCAAAGGAGCTAATAGTTTTTTAGTAAAATAAAAATATTAGTTTTCAAATAAATAAATTTTGATATTTTTTTTTTATTTTAATCAAACTAGGTTAACAGTAATCAAGCTATATAGCTAGCAAACTAGTTAATTTTGATGGTGAAGAAAGTTAAGTCATAATATTTAACTAAATTAATAATGTAAATTAAGTTTAAATTGCAGATAAATTTGGTAATAAAATAGATTTTTTTAACTTTGATATTTACACTTAAATTCCATAGATCTCTTTTAGTTTTTAAGAAGTTGTTAACTTAGAAAAAATTTAATTTTGCATTAAAATTAATTCAACTTAATTGTTAGTTTTTGATGCAAATTCTAAATAAGTAAAACAAAATTTAATTATAAATTCTTATTTTAATATTTTGTTTTTGTTATCAGATTAGCTATTTTAATGTCTCTTTAGGTTCTCAATTTAATTGGAATAACTAACCTGAATTTTATTAAGTTATTTATAATCCTTAGACTAATCAAACATATTTTTATATTGTAAATGGTTTAACAAAAAAACTATCTAGAGTTAAACTAGATTCTAATAATATATCTTTTTAAAAAGAAGTGTTTGACTCATCAAAAAATATATTATTAAGTCCAGGATTTTCAGTATTTACATAAGAATAAATTGCTGTAGCTTTCTCATCTAACTAAATTATAGAATATGATCTTAATAGCCTCTAATTGAAATCATTTAAAAATAGTAATAAATAATTTTTAAACAATTTTATTTTAAATCAATCATCAAAAATCTAAAAATAAAAATGAATAATATTTTTAAAAATACAAATAGTAAATTGTTTATCTAGTAGTATTGCAACAGCATTTATAAATTTGGGTATAGCCATCTTTTATTGTGATGAAGGGTTTATAATTTCTTATAAAATAAGCAGCTAAAATATATTTTAATTGTAAATTAGCTCAGATATGGCTTCAATACTATTTAAAGTTGAAGATTTAAATCTTTTATTTGTTAGCTTTAAATATACAAATATAATAGAAGGTTACTCTCTTGATCCCTCTACAATAGAATTGAATAGATTTTTAGTATTTTAAAGCAAATATAACGTATTAGGACTTTAATTTACTAATTATAATAATTTATTTATAAATACTGATCAGCAAAATATTTAATTTGATGCATTTGGCTGTTTACAAAACAATTAGTGTGCAGTTTGTGAGCTATAGGTTTATTTTGATTCTTCATAGTAAAATTAAGGTTTTGTAGATAGTTTTGGATTAGGAGACTTAAATTATTAATTTACAACTTATCAAAATTTTATCTTAGGTTTTTTATAGGTAATTAATTAATTATTAAATGATTTTATTTATTGATAATTTTTCTTAAATTGTTATTTAATAAAGGCTAATCAATTGTTTTAGTTTGTAAAGACAATATAAACTGTTCAGATTCATTACTTTATCAATAACTCTAATGAAATGTAGATTGATTAAAATCAGATTGATTTTCCAATAAAAGAAAAGATTATATTAATCATTGAACCTGTTCAAGTATTTGAAAATAATAGCCTAGCAGTAGTTAATATAAGTGGAGATTTTAGCTTAAGTCTATTCCAGTCAATTATATTTAAAAATATTATTTTTCAATTTTCAAATTAATACCAAAAATAAGGTAAATCATGTTCTTTAAATCTCATAAACATATAATCGATATCTGTAATCGACAATGTCATTATAGCTGGAGGAAGTGAGTAAGATTATATATTTTGCTTCAACTTTAAAATTCAAAAGTCTAATGTAGAGTTTAAAAATTTGAATTTATAAGGTCTATATTTATCAAATAATTCCTCTATGTTTACAGCGTTCAACTAAGAGCAAGTAATTTAAATTAATTTTAAAAAATAAATTTATTTAATTGAGAAAATACTATTTATTGCTTATAATTATTTTTATATTATAAAAGAATTACATAAAATTTAGCAATTTAACTATTTAAGATTCTATTTTAGATTAGTTTTCTTTATTTGTCTCTGAAAGCTTCACAAATTTAATTTTGGAAGATATCAATATTATTAACAATAATTCGACAAATATTATTAGCTTAGATTAGCAAACTCCTTTATACTTATTTTAGTCAAGTAGTATTTCAATTAAAAACATGAGAGTTTCAAACAACATATTTTACAATATAAATATAATAAATATTTAATCTTACATTTAAACTTAAGAAATTTAGATGGAAATTTATAATGTTTTTATTTCAGATAATATCTTGAATTAGATTCAATCCAATTTCTTTATGCAGGCTCTATACGATGACATATTAGTACCTATAGCCACACTTGATATCTAAAATATAATAGTTAGCAACAATTCTTTGCCAAATGATATAAGCGATTAATATTTATTTGATATAAATATGTTTTAAATTTAAAAATTTTTAAATATTAGCATCTAAAATATATCTTTAATTAATAACCACAACTTTGGTCTTGGATTATTTAGATAAACAGAATTATTGGACATAAATAATTTTAATTGCTCTTTTACTAATAATTACTAAAATTTACAAATTCCTTCATCTAGCTGTTTAATGGTTGAAGATGCTTCTTTAGTAAATATTTAGAATTTTATTGTTGGTCAAAAGATTTTAAATGATAGCTTTGCTCTTTGCATAATTAGTTCTTAAGTAGCATCATAAGTATTAATTGAAAATATTATATTGGAAAATATTTCAATTTTTTAATCAGGAATGCAAGTATTTAGTGAACCAATTTATATAAATCTAAATATTGGCTAAACTGTCTAGATAAATAATTTAAAGGCCTCTAACTGTTCTTTATTTGGATTACCATATTCATCTGTATCAACCCCTGTTTTGTACGTACTCAATTTAAGAGGATTTGTTAATATTTATCAAGCTAATTTATAAGGAATATTTTCAAATTCTATGAATAATGGATTAGTAATTAATGCTAATTCTCTCAATATAAGTAGCAGCATTTTTAAAGGATTCTATTATATTGAAAATGATACATTAAATTAAAATAATGCTTTTTATAATTTAAGTTCTTAAACTCAAATAATAGGAAGTTGCTTTTATTTTGTTGGAACATAATTAAATATTTAAAATTCTTAATTTAATGAAACGCAATCTTATTAAGGTGGTTTTGGGTATCTTTAAAATTTAATTCACAATTAAATTAACTTTTAAATTATTAACTCTACCTTTTCGAATTCTGCTACTAATTTTTAAGGATCAATATTCTATATTAACCTGTAATAAGGAAAAATTTATTTTGAAATTTTCAACAGCACCTTTGAAAATATATTTTCACTGAATTATACAATTGTTTCTTTCTATATAGAGTAATTTTCATTCATTAAAAACTAAAAACTTAACAGTCTTTTAATATAATTTTTTTTAAATAGGTCTACCGAGTCATATACAAATACGTTTAAATTTTAACAATTAACTTTTAAAAATATCTATGGCAATTTAAATAATTTAATTTTTAACTTCTATAATGCCTAACTATTATGCAACAATATTACAATTGTTGAAAATAACTCAGATGATTATATTAATGACTTTGTTTAATAACAATTTTTACAATTTGTTTCTATTTTTTCCTTCTTGAATTCTTATGCTGAATTATAAAATATATTCTTAAGTTAAATTATTACAATAAACTAAATAACACAATCACCTCTGTTAATATATGGCGAATAAAATTCTATTATTAATTTGAAAAAATGCTAAATAAGCAATTCTTTATTTGCTAATTAAGGTTTAATTTTTTTAAATAATAGTGTCCTATAATCTTCTGATATAACCATTAAGAATATGACATTTGCTATCCCTTACAGAAGATAACTCTAATAAGAAATGGAATCAAAAATATTTTTAAATTCTTATTTTATATAAATTACCTCATCAAATGTATTTTTAAATTAATATAATGTTTCCTTCTTTAAATGTAAAACGTGCTATGGAGGATTTATCAATTCTTAAAATAGTTCCCTTACAATAATCAAATCAACTTTCTAAAATCTTCAAGTAAAGATTTTCACACATCTCATCTGTTTAATTACTATAAACCCTCATATATTAGCAAATTCCCCTCTTCTCATAATATCTTAGACTATTTTTTGCAGATTAACCTTCCAATTTTTGATAAATATTTTTTTTTTATAGGTGTTAATATATGAGAAACTGCCTAGGATATTTATTATTTTGAATTTATTTTTTTATAATAATTATATAGGGCTCTATGGGTGGAGCTATCTTTATGACTGATAATTAAAATACTTTAATTTAAGACTGTATTTTTGAATAATTGCAAGCTTATTATAATGGTGGAGCATTCTTTATATAAAATTAATAGGCAGATAAAGTAAATTTATTTATAAAATAAAAATTTAAAAAAATTATTTTAAAAAAGGTTTTGACACTTAGAAATATAAAATGCTAGTAGAATATATCAAATATTGGTAAAGGAGGATGTATTTATATAGAAATGGCTGAAAATGATTAAAATATTTTGATAGAAAATTCTTAAATAGAGTAAAATTATGCATAAATAGGAGGTGGAATATCTTTTTCAAATACTTCTATTTTATATAGAAATAATACTATTCGAAATAACTATGCAAAGTGTTATGGTAATAATATTTTTTTTGCACCTAGCTACATCGAATATAATAATTCGATGATTGATAAGAATGCAGATATTAAAGCTTTTAAAGATTTGCTAATAATTAACAATGTTTAGAGTGGATTTAATATTCATGAACTTAAATTTTTATTGAAAGATGATGAAGGCTAATTAATTTTTTATGATAAAAATAGTCCAAGTTATATTGAATGTCTGGAAAATCCTCTTACTATTGTTTAGATTTTTTCTAATAGTTCGTACAATATCATAGGAAGTTTGGAATCTTAATATGATGATATATCATAGCAATTTATTTTCAGTAATATAACAATTACTGCAAAAAAATATGCTTAAATAAATTTAATAATAAAAACTAATTTAATAAAGACTATAAATCAAACAAATAACTAAATCAAAGATGATTATTACTTCAATGTTACTATTTAAATTTCCGACTGCTAGATAGGATATACTCCATAGATTGGTAACAATGGAATTCCATAATGTATACCTTGCAAAGATGGTTCTTATTCTTTCAACTCAGTAGCTTGCCTAAAGTGCCCTATAGGAGGAAATTGTATAAAATATGAAAAAGATATAAGAATTTAAGATGGGTATTGGAGATTAAATTAACAAGATGATGATATAATTCTTTGTTAGAACAAAATACAAAATTGCATTGCTCGTAATCATTCATTTTCAGGGAATGATATATGCAAAAGGGGATATGTTGGAGCTCTTTGTGAATCCTGTGATGTAAGTATTAATTATAAAAAAATTAAAATAAATTATTTTATCAATTAATAAGTATTATGGTGAAAAGTGGGGATAAAAATATATTAAGACTGGATCATATTAATGCGCTCTTTGCTAAGTTGCGGTCTACAATATATTTAAGTTAATCTTGATATATTTAGGAATTATTTTATCAGTTGCAATATCAATTAGATCTTATATAAATTAAATTAGAAAGTTCATTCTTTGTTTAATAGTTATTAAATTATCTAAAAGAAAAAAAGCTTTTAAAGATTAATCTCATTCAGGAATAGATGTTATACTTAAGATTATTGGAACTTATATTTAGAGTATATTTGCTATTTCACAGCTTTAAATCAATTTTCCGAATAGTAAATTGTTTTATTTTTATTAAAATCATAATTCTTAATTTAATTTTTTTGTTTCCCTTCAATTTTAAACATCGCAATCTATTTTGGTATATATAGAATGATATTTCATATGCTTTTTATGCTTTAAAATATATTTTAAATAATTTTTTAATTTAATAAAAATTAAACTAAATTAGACCTTTATTTTCTATTAAAACTAATATTTTTTGATAAAATTTGGAATAAATAAAATCGATATTTCTCATTATTATTGTATGAGCAGAACTATTTCAAAAATATTTTAATAATTTAAAAACTGGTACAGATTGAAATATTTCAATATTTTTTTTAATTTTATGTTTTTAATTTTAATTTAGATCATATTAATTTAATAAAAAATCTTAAAAATTAATAAAATTTATTTCCTTTTAAAAAATTATTATTATTGATAAATTTAGAATAAATAAAAAATACAATTTTTTCTATCTATTTTGGCATTTATTTGGATATTTTTAAGGAAAAATACAATATATGAGAAGAATCATTAACATCAATAAAATTTTACTAAAATATTAGATTTGATTTAATTTTAGTTGTTATCAGCAATGCCTGTGTCAGAAACATCATATGACTTTGATTGCGGACTCCTTTAGTTAAATTCTAAAATTCCTATCTCATATTTAAGATTATTTTTTTCGTTTATTATTCCTATAGTATTTTTAGTTGGATACATAATAATTGCTTTAGTTATAAAAATATGTAGTAGTAATTCTAAGATTAGGTTTCCAAAGCATAGCATAGTACCAGCACTACTTTTAATTATACTCTATACCCAACCTAATTTTCTTTATTAGCTGGTTTTACTAGGATCTTGCAGAAAAATAGGGAGCTAATACTATACTAACGAAAACAGTAACTTAAAATGCTATGATGAAGTTTATAACTTTTATACTTTGAATTTTGTTGTTCCTTTAACAATATTAGTCTCATTCATAATCCCTTTAATCTTCTTTGTTATATTGTTTAAAAACAGAAAAAATTTAAATAATCCATCATTTTTAATCAAGTTTGGGTTTTTATATAAAGAATATAAATCCTAATTCTATTTCTGGGAGTTTATTAAGATAATTCAAAAAACAATAATTATGGTTGTTTTAAGCTATTTTTAGTAGCTTTATGCTACTAAAGGTTATTTAGTATTATTTACCATCCTAATTTATCAAGCTCTTTGCTTTAAGCTCGAACCATACAAAAAACCTGAAATAAATTAATTAGATTTTATGCAAGCTTCAGTGTGCTCTTTCTCAATTTTTATATCATTAAGTATTTTGCAAAACTAAATCGAGTAAATAAAATACATGAATATTTTGATTATGATAGGAATTAATGTATTCTTTATATATAGAGTTATCTATTAAATTTTAAAATAGCTTTTAACTGAGAAAATGCATAAATTAAGTAAATATTACTATAAATATTCTTTCTTAAAGAAAGTATTTAAGTTCTTGAATATTCATGCTCCTCCAAAACCTTAAAAATTAAAAAGAATTTTTGAAACTAACTAATAACTAAAAGAGAAAGTTAAAGAATCCTTAATAAAGATTAAAGACATGGACCATTAGGATAGATTTTTAATTTATAGTAGCTATAAAGAGAGCTGTAATAATAAAAATTAATTAAATTAAATTTTAGCTTATTCTTAATTAAATTTTCACTTATTTTTAATTAAAATTATTTAGAGTATATTTATTGCAATTGTCCATAAATAGTATATTAGTAGAATAATGAAACACATTCCAATATATCAATTGATGAAAATATAGAAAGCAAGAATAAAATACAAAACTAAATTTATTAATTTAAAATTTAGAATCTAGGCTTAGAAGTAAAATTTTAAACATATTTTTATTTTTATTTAATTGTTATTTTTTAGGCAAAAAATTGCTAAAACTCAGTATACAAGTGATGACTTAAATAAAAAAAAATTTATTAATAAATATATTAGTGAATTACTCATATTTATTATGTATTGGTTTTAATGTTATATATCAAACAAATATTCTTGATTTTTATAAAATAAATAATAATGTTTTTTTATTGAATCTATTGGATTTAAAAAAACTTAATAATTTAAGTAGTATGATTTTTTAGTTTAAGTTTACTCATAGTAAATAACTTGTTAAATAGAGGATTCACTTTCATAATTAAAAAGATAAAATATTGTTTGTAAAAACTAAGATATTGTAAATAAACTACAATAAGAATGATTTGGGTATTATTTAGTATTTACTTTTTCTCTTTAATACTGCAGCAGACAACATGTTAAAGCTAGTGCTTTCAATTTGAAGAGTATTACTGTAAAATATTTATCATATAATCAAATGTTTAATAATTTTTTAGAAATTTTAAATGATCAATAGCTACTAAACGATGCATTTCCTTTAGAAAATACAAATATACTAGTTTTATCGTCAAATAATAACTTAAATCCATCAAATGACATTCTTTCCTCATTTATTTACTACTTTGATATATCATCCAGATAAGTACTTCAAATCAAAAATTGTAACATATTAATTCATTCTATACTTTTCAAAGTTGTAGAATTAAGTATATATTTTGAAGAAAAAAAATTAATTTTATTTAAAACAAAAATAAAAATTAGTGCCTATATACATTAAGAAGATACTGTATAATTCAGATACAGGTTAATTGATTGCTTTTAGCTCATTTAACTATTACATACTAAATCTTTACACTTTAGAAATCGCTAGTTATAATTTAATAGCAACTCATAATTATGAAGCTTTATAAGATGTAATAACTTATAAAAATGATACAATATCACTGCTTTTTCCTAGCTATATTGCACTCTATAACTTAACAGATGATAATTATGTAAATGTAAAACAACTTGGTAAATATCATGTTTAAAAATTTATTTTATTATATGTAGAACTTTGGTTTTATGTAAATAGAACCTAAAATTTGATTTCAACACTTAATATATTTAGATAATATTTAATTTAAATTAACAATTATTTAGTAGACAGTTCCTTGCCTAAATTATACTTGTTTGATTTTGTTAATTAAACAAAAACATCATTAATAATAAGCATGTATGAAGACTACAATAGTTAAAATGGTATTATTTAGATATGGGATCCAATACAAAATAAATATCTTGTTTCGATTTCAAGTAAATTCTAATATTACTTAATAAAATAAATTAAGCTATTAAATAATTTACAAATTAGTTAAAATCATTATTTTCAATTTATATATATTATCTCATTTAAATGTTTATAATAAGATTTTAATATATATTAATTTAATTTATTATAATAATAATAGTGAAAATGAACTCTAATATAAATACTACTTTTAATGTCATTTAATTACCTAATACTAACTTAATAATGATAAATTATAAATCTATGATGATATAAATTTATGACTTTACTAATATAGATTAATAAAAATACTCTGTCTTATCAGCATATAGTAAGTTAAAAACTATTTTTATATTGTATTAACATTTATTATTAAAAAAGACTTAAGTGATGGTTTATTGTAATTTACGGCAAATTAAGATTTAAGTAAAAACTCAATAGTTCAGATGACGATTTAATAGCCAAAAGGCTAAAACGCGAATTTAATTACAACTGATTAATATAATAATATTTTAATAATAGATCTATCTATAAATTAATAAAATAATTAATACATTTTTACACCATAGAGATATTACAAAAATATCATAAAGTCATTTTTATATCCGTTTCCAAGTAGCAAGCTAATATTTTTTATATATACTAATTATATTGAGCAATTAAATCTTAATATCTTATAGCAGTCTCCACCTTTATAAAATTTAAGTAAGAATTTTTAAAGCTTTTTATTTTTCATAATTTTATTTAATATTAATTTATAAATATTTGCCAATTTTATATCTTTTGGATTTTTTTGATATTATTAAAATATAACATTTAAATTTGAATTATATTTTTTTAAAATAGAATTTAATCAGCTAGTTCATGGATCTAAAAAAGTTATATTTTAAGATGGTTTAAATAAGTATTTTGGAATTTAAATTGATTAAAATTTATTCGCGAAATCTATTACTTAAGAGAATAAATATGGTTAAATCTTAGTCTAATATTAAATTTAGCAAAATTTAAAAATATATGATTCGATTATGTCTGTGTAAGAAGTAATAAATTTAGAAAAAAATGTAACATTATTCAAAATTGATTAATTGATGAGCTTAGGAATTTATTTTTCTTAAAATAATACTGTAAATTTTTTTGATTTATATTAAAATTAATTATCAAAAAAATCAAAAAAAATAATTTTTTTTATAGTTATAAGTTGCAAATGTAGATCTAGGAAACAATTAAAGTTGGTCTGAAAATAGCAATTTTTATAAAATTATTTACATTGCTGCTAATTAATCTTTGTACTTTTATTAATTAAATCCAATAACAAACACTTTATGTAAAAAAAAATTAGACAATTAAAATAAAGTAGAGTAGTTTCCTCTCTACAATTTTTAGGGGATTTAACCTATATTTATAATTGCTGACGAATTAAATAGTGTAGTAACTTTAACAAATCAAGGACTTCTAGTTGTTTATAATATAATATCCTTTTCGATCATTTCTACTTAATAAAGTAATTAGCTATTAAAATTTAATAAATTATTAAATTATTTATTTAAAAATTAAATTAAAAGCTAATTGTAATAAAGCTGAAAATGGAGATTATTTAAAAAATCTTAAGATTGCTATATTTTTCTGCTCATATGGAAATCTCTTACAATATAATTTAGTCAATTAAACAAAGAATGAAATTCCTTCCTCAATTTAAATGATATCCAGTTTAGCTGTTATCAATGAGATAAATTGTATTTTTATAGGTGAATTTGAAACTGGGATTATTTATGGATACAAAATATTGCCTTAAATAAATACTTTATCCAACTTTATATAAATAAAAATGAAACTAAGTTATGATATTTTAGGATTTGGATATACAAATGATGAACTTCTTTTTATCAATACATATCCAGGAAACATTTATATTAATATTAAAGCATGTCTTCAAGATCAAAAAATATGCCAGATATGTGATAAAACTTTTTATTTTAGTAACTCTTAGAATTTTTATCCTCAACTATAAAACTTTGGTATGGGAAACACCCTTTTCCCATTTACTACATCTAATAATCTTATAACAGCATTTTTATATGTAAATTATCTTACTTATTTAGTATTATCTAATTCTTTTTAAATTTATTAGAGGTTACAAAATATTATTACCCCCCTATCTAAAATTTTTATTAGCAAGTTAAAAACCAAAAATCATCCATTTATCTTTTGATAAAATTTTGTTTTTTAAACCCTCTTATAGACATATTAATACAAAAACTATTCATCTATTTCTTTTTTAAAATTAAAATTTTATAGAGAGTTACTATATTTTGAAACCAAAATAACATTAATTTTTAAATTAAAAATATTGAATAAATTGTACTATTTATAATATAGGTAAATTCTTTGAGATTCAGCTTAGATTAGTTTAAACTAATGAATGTGAATATTTATTTTGACAATTAATAATAAAGTTAAATTGCATAATATATACTAGATCTTCCTTAGCCTAATCAATTGAATATAACTTTATCTGCTAATTAATATTCACTTGAATAAAATAGAGCTGAAATTGCTATAAATGGAAATTTCATTTTCAACAACTTTTACTAAGTTTCTATAATAAAAATATAGTTTTTTTTCCCTCTTTTAAATAGCTTTGAATGCTCATTAAACTTATAAAATATTTAGTAATTAACTTTAGACAATATATAGGTTTTTGGGGGAAACTAGCAATACAGCTGCTTTAAAATAAATATTTACAATTCTTCGGCTACAATAAAGAATATCTTCTTGAATAATTTTACATTTATTAATCATCCTTATTTAATACAAACTTCAAACTCTGATAATGTAAAAATGATTATAATTTTAATAAATATAATTTACATTTTATTATTATTAATATAGATTACAATTAACAATGTGCAATTGACTAATTCTGAAATTACCAATTTTTAATTTCTTACATAAACTTCATTTACTTCTTTATATTTAAATAACATTTTGATCAAAGAAAACTATTGTAACATTGATATAATATAAAATAGTAACAGTGTATCATTTTTTGAAATGGGCTAGCTTACAGCAAGAAATATTACAATTTTAAACAATACTTTATGCAACACTAATATTTTTGAAATAAAATATTAGACAAATTACAAGAACATAATTAATAAAATAGAATATATATCAATTTATAACAATTTGATAATGACTATGATGCTTTAAACATTCTTAATGAATGCTTAATTTTAAGAATTAATTAATCCTGATCATCAAATAGATATTAATAATATTTATATCAGTTAAAATGAAGTATCAAATTTTATTGAACCATTATATATAAAAGGAGTAAATATCTTCAACTTTCAGAATATAAAATATATCAACATAAATAAAGTTGCAATTTAAAATAGTTAAAATGTTGGTTTAGGATTATTTTAGAATGCATTATAATTAAATATAAGCTAAGCAATATTTTAATCTGATTATGATTATCAAATGTCTAAAATATACTTAAATTCTTAAAATTGCTTTAAAATAATAGATGTGTAAATCATTAATATTATTTAATTGGACATAAATCAAAAACCAATCAATGATATTGATGCTATATCTATCTCAGTTAAAAGTTACTACCCAAAAATATTAATTTAAGACTCTTCATTCAAAAATAATATATTAATTTAATCTTAAATCGATTAATCAAGTAACATGTTCTATATTTCTAGTTCGCTTTAAGCTACAATAGTATTACAGAATTTAACTCTATCAGAAAATTATTTATTAGGTCGTCAAGATACAATGGTAGTTTCAGCTTCAGGGTTTATTATTGACAATTAAGATGGTATTGTTATAATGAATAATATTATAGTGAATAATCTCTACACTAGTTCTGCTTATAGTCCATTCTATATTATAGTTTCGGAACTATTTGTATAATATTCCGAATTTTAAAACGTATTATAAATTAGCTAATTAAGTGACCCATAACCTTATTTTTTTGATTTATAAACAAACGGAGTTTATCGTGGAGGAGTTTTTTATATGGCTATATAATAAAATCTACAGATTTATGGATCTCTTTTTAACAATTCAAATTCAATTGTAGGAGGATTTTTTTATATTTAAAGTAAATATTTATAAGCAGATATATAAAATTCTATTTTCTAAAATGGAATGGCATAATAAGGTGGCAGTGCTTTTTATCTATAAAGTTCAACCTATTATAATTTAACGATCTAAAATTCATCTTTTTCAAACTTTCTAAACTATAATGATGGAACATCTTTATTTGGTCTCAAGTAAATAGCTTAATTTCTTTATTAAATAAATTTTTAAAGTAAACCATTTTAAAAATTTTTAATTTATAACATAGCTTAGATATAGATTAAAATTCTTAAATATAGATAAATAATGTGAATTTTAGTTAAATTTATGGTTTCTAATAAAATAGTTATTTGATAAAAATAAAAACATGCTTTGTATTAATTTAAAACGTAGTTATTATTGAAGATTTAAAAGTTCTTCAAAATCCAAATGACCTAGCATTTTTAAAATTGATTAAGAGTGGTAAATTAACCTTTTCTACAATTCTAAATTCTTATGAAAGTTCTATTTATATAAATGAATTTTCTTTAAGTAACATTAGAACTGTTAGTAGCTTATAGTATAATGTATTGTTTTTAGATATTTTCAGATCAAATATTATTATGTTTAACTCATACTTTGAAAATAGCTTTTTTAATCAAGGAGGATTTGGCAAAATTTAAAATTCAAATATAACCATAGAAAATTTTAATTTAAAAGATTTGACTTATATAGGAATTTTTAGTTTAGTTTAAAAGACAAATGTAAATGCTCCAAACGGATATTTTTTATTTGTTTTAGACTCCCTTTTTTAATTGAATAACGCTTTTATAAAAAATATTTAATGCCATTAATTTTGTATTGGTGGATTTTTATAAATATAAAATTTTAGTGAGCTTTAGATCAAAAACACAACAATATAAAATGCAAGTGTATTTAATATTTATTTATTTTATATTAATTTTATAAAAATTTTTTAATTAAAAGGCTTATTAAGGAGGAGCTCTATCAATTTATTTTTAAGACTATAATAAATTAATCATTTAAAACTCAACATTTACTAACAATTAAGCATATTATGAAGGTGGAGCAGTATACATGATGGTATTTGTTTATCAAAGAAATATAGTAATGTTTTATTCATTAATTTAAAATAAATTTTTAGTAATTTTAAAAATATTTTGTAATTTCAAATTTAAAAGTAAAATGAAAAATATATATTACCATATTTCATTTTTAATTTTAATTAATTAAAAAAGGTTTTTGAAATTGACAATATTATCTGTAATGAAAACATATCTCTTAATGGTGAAGGAGGATGCTTTTATGTTTTCAATCCAAATTTTAATCGATAAGATAATTAAATCTCATTTTGTGTATAAAATTCAAAAATAATTCAAAATTAAGCTTAAGTTGGTGGTGGTATAGTTTATTATGGAGTTTATTTGTAAAATATAAACTCATTAGTATAAAATAATAATGCTTTTTTATATAGTGATAATGTTTTTTCATAAGCTAACAAAATTAAATTTATTAATGGAAGCTTTTCTTAAGATGTAAAGGTTATAGAAATAGGAGATTCTTTATATTTGAAAGATATCCAAAGTGGATTTGAAATTTATGATTTATAATTTCAATTAATCAACGAATTCAATTAAGTTGTCTCTGTAATTGATAAATATTTATCTAGATAAGATTATTATCAGTAACATAATATACATTTTAACTATGATATGTCTAATAGTACCTACATTTTAACTACTACCAATAAAAATAATAATACCTAACCACAATATAATACTTAAAGCAAAACCTTCAATATATAAAATGTCAAAATATAAGCTTTTCCTTAACAAACAATTAATATTAACCTTACAAAAATAGACACTATAAATGAAATTGAACTGCAAATTTAATCTTATGCATATTAAATTTATATTTCTGTGGTTAATTGTAAAGCTGGTTATATTTCTGATACATCTTCTAATAAAATACCTAATTGTCTTCCTTGCTATGAAGGTAATGTTTAATTCAAAAATATACAAAAAGCTTAAATACTCTAAATCTTCCTTAATTAAGGTCATCCCATCCCTAAATTAAAAAATAAAACTAAATCAAAAAATTTTGATAATTAACACAAAAATCAATTTTTTTATGTAGGATGATTAAAGAGGAAAGACAGTATAATTAAAATAATATATTAATGTTATTAATTTTATTTTTTACTATAAATTAACAAATTAAATTATTTTTTCCATAAGCATAATAGAAATTTATTTATTAATAATTTGATTTTAAGTATATAATAAATAAAATTTATCATAAAAAAGGAACTTATTCATTTGATTCTTTAAACTGTTAAAAATGCCCTGATGGTGCTTATTGCAAGGGAAACACTGATTTACATGTATTGACTGGATATTGGAGAAAAAATAAATATGATGATTAGATTATTTTATGTCAAATTCCTAATTTATGTATAGGTGGATAAGGCGCTGGAAATTAATTATGTTAGCCAGGGTATGTAGGCGCCACATGCTTAGCATGCGATGTAAATTATAATAAATTAACACATAATTTTTAAAAAAATGCTTTTAATTAAGTCAAAAGGAGTATTTTGGGGAAGTAAATATATTAATGTTGATTAATTTACTTGCATTTAATGCAGCCAATAGATGCCATACATAATCAAGCTTATTTTTATCTTCACGTGGGTTATATTTGTCATTTACTTTATAATAAGTTCATACAATAGAATCCTCAGATAAGAAGTGTTAAATTAAGTAGCTTCGGCAGTGACAAAAAAAACCATAGTTAACAAAATTATTTCTGATAAAATCGGTGTTTACCTTAAAGTGATTAATAATTATTTCTAGAATATATTTATTTACTCAACTTTTAGCAGTAAATATCTAAAATGTAAATTTCATTTTATATTTAATTAAAAATTATTTATTTTTTAAATAAATCAATTAAGCTATTTTTACTTTTTAATATTCTGTTGCTCTGCCTCTGTTAAAGCTTGGATAGAATTTAGAATGTGTGCTAAAAGAAATAGAAACAGATATTCCATTATGTTATCTTAGGGCAACATTTTCTCTTATAACTCCTGTAATTCTAATGATTGGTTTTATAGTTGTAAAATTTGTAATAAACTTATTCAAGAGGAAAAAAATGATTTAAATATAAAAATAGATTTTGATATCTGCTATAATCTACATTTTTATATTTGTTTAGCCTGATATCCTTTACTAGTTTTTTAACCTTTTTTCTTGCACATTGATAGGAAATGTGTATTATTTAAATGCTGATTATTCTTTAGAATGCTATAATAAAGAATATTTCATACGTTTGTATTCTTTCATCTTTCCTTCGATATTTATATTTGCATTAATAATTCCATCTATTTTCTTCTATATCTTGAATAAGAATAAATCTAATCTGAATAAAGTTTCTTTTAAGTTAGCTTTTGGATTTATTTATTTAGAATATAAAGAAAAGTACTTTTACTGGGAGTGCCTCAAAATGACTCAAAAAACAATTTTCATGTTTATAATTAGCTTTTTTAATTATACTCCCTTGCTTTAAGGATATTTTATCATAGTTTTTTTGATGGTATATATGATTCTTTGCTATAACAATCAACCTTATATTTCTATTGAGTTAACAAGACTAGATTATTATTAGACACTAATCACTAGCATTTCTATACTTTTAATATTATTTATACAGAACAATTAAATAATAATTTTTGAGTTTCTTGCTTTTTCATGCATTTTTTCAATAAATTGCTGGCTTAGTTTGATGATTTTTTATAAATTTTTAGTTGCTATCGTAGAGAGAAATCAGTTATTCTTCCTTAAATTAACAAATAAATGTAAAATGCTTAAATGTGCATTTAAATTTCTAAAAATTGAGTTGAATTAATAAGAGTCCGACTAAAAAAGTCAATCAAAGCAAAAAAAAAGACATAAAATTTTATAGAAAATTATAGAGTTTTCTAAAATATCAGAAAATCATTCAAATTTAATTAACTCTTCATAAATGAGGCAAATGTAAAACTAAAGCTGCCTTGTAGATTAATCTAATTGCCAATAAGATGAAGTATTAGACTAGAGTATTATCAAAGTATCTCTTGTTTCCCCTAGTAAACATAAAAAATTCATTTCTTAAAACATAACAATTGATAAAGGTAAAATATAACATTTTATTGTATTGTTTTTTTATTTAAAACAAAAATAAAATAAATAGGATCTCCATTGATTTTAAATAGCTAAATGAATTTATAACCAAAAGAAGAGACCAAAAGAAACGAAGAAAATCTTATTTTTCTATCTAAATCTAAATAAGTTAATGAAACAAATTGATTTTCTATATTAAACAAGTTTTTTTTGTTAGTTAATTAACGAAATATAATTAATTGTGTATGTAATATAAATTTTTTTATATTTTAATTAATTAATTTAATTTAATTTTAAATAATATTTTAGATTACATTTATAAATAACTTTAATTTATTGACTAGTTTTATTTATTTATGATGTTAATATTTTTATCAATATTATAAAATAAATTTTTTAAAAACTAAAAAATTAAATGAACACTGCTATATATATAATATTGAAAGTTAGAAAATATTTATATAATACTTAAAATTTAAAATAGGAAATAAATGTTTTTATGTATAAATAAATAATTTAAAAGTCATATTTTTTATCTAAAATTTTATTTGTATTTTGATAAAATTAAAAAAAGCAATCAATTTTTATTCGATTATTTGCTCGATCAGTTATTTTAATGAAATTATCCTTTTTATTTTTTGATTTAATTCTATTTATAAATTAATTTTAGTATTTCAATATTATTTGTATTAATTAAAGATCATCCAACTAACCATCCAGTTTCAATAACAAAGAATATCAAGCGAAAATCTGTTTTTAATGTTTCAATAGATTAACAAAATCTTTTTTTTTACTGAAAAAAATAAATAGATTTTATAAATAATCTATAAATTTTGGAAAAATAGATTTTGAAAAGGTAAAATAAAAAATTAATATAATTTATTTTAATAATAAAATGAGAAATAATTAGATTATAAAATATCTAATTTTTACCTGAAACTAGATTTTATGTTTAGCTTTGAACTTTTTAATAAAGAATCTAAATAGAATAAAATCAATCTAGTATTTCATTCAAGTGAAGAAACGTACTTTTTATACTTAGAAAAAAATTGATCATTTTAATTATCATTTGACTAATCTATTTCATCTGAAAAAAGCTTTAAGCGCTGCTTATTTTAAATAAAGTAATATTTAAAACTAAAAAACAAAGAAAATAACAAAAATTAATAAAAAAAAATAACAAAAACAATTTGAACAATAAATGCAAACTAGAACAATATATTTAACAATTCTAATTGCTCTAATAGGGTTTTCAAATACCTAATTTTTAGCAAAGGAAGCATAGAATTTTGGCGATGATCGTGTTTAAGTTCCTGACATTTGCGATGTCTAAATTGCACTAAACTTAAAATACCTCCTTTTAGATGTGGTTGGGCAATAAGTATAAGATGAAAATGGACATAATTTTGTAAGAATAAATTTTAATTTTTCTGTAAAGCAGCCATCTAACCTTACAAAGACATGCATTTTTAAATCAGTCAAAGACATATATTACATAGATTAAATGAATTAGCTAGGATATTTTGATAGTTAGGTCAAAAAATAAACAGAACAAGGGCTTTACATATAATTGCCTATTAATGATATTTAAAATTATGCAATCTCTACTTCTACTATAGCAAATTAAGATAAAATAGGTTTTTCTAGCATCTTAAATCTTAAATTGACTTTTGGAAATACAAGAGTACCTGTGAGAGAGTACTAAATCTAGTATACAATCGATTAGCTTGCCAATGCGTCTATTTAATTTAAAGATTAAAATATATCATTTTAAAATGCCTAAGTTGGTGTCAGATTAGTCTGATAATTAAAATCTAAATCAATAATTTAATTGCATGTTTATCTCTCTTATATATCATTTATTTATTTTATCTATCTTCAAATACTTTTTAGTTAATTCTTCTTCAAAATATTTTAAATATTTTTTAAATATTGCCTTTTTATATTGAATTTGCTTTGGAATATGATATATACATATGAATTAATTGATTTTTTTAAATAACAAATATTTTTTCATTATTAAAAGTTTGAAAAGTTTTAAAATAATTTTCACTTACTTTTTAAAATGATAATAATTTTTTTAAGTAAATTAAAATGATATGATATTAAATCTTAAGCAACATAATAAAAAATTCAGAAATAATAGAGTACAGATTCCAAATTTAGAGTTCTATTAATTAGCTTATTAATTCATACATTTAATATACAGATTAAAAAAATATCTAAATTACTTTTTTTGGTGTAAAAATAGATTGATAATTCAAAACTAAATAAATAATTATAATTAAATATTTTTCAAAATATTTCATTTTTATAGTTTTATTTATTCTATATTAGTGTAATGTTTTATTAATTATTCTTGAATATTATTTAAATATTATCTTTTTTTATTAGATTAGCTTTTGAATGTGAAATATTAAAGATATATTTTTATTTTTTTTAGGAGTAATTACTATTTTAATAAAAAAAAGTGATTTTAAAGTTTTAAAACTGTAAGAATAATAGAAGAAGAGACATGATGTAACAAGATGAAGAAAAAAGAGATAAAAATAATAATATTTGATTAAACAATATGGATAATGAGTTAATATCTTACACCAAAACAATTTATGATAAATTAATTAATTAATACTATATATTTAATATCCCTATGAATAAGTCTGAAAATTATTAAGTATATATTTGCTTTGTATTAGTATATGAATGTTTGTCAAATTCTTAAATAACTTTCTCTAACTTAATTAAAATGATAAAAACTTTTAACAAAATTAGTATTATTTTTACTTCATTTATAATTTTTAAATTTAAATACCAATCGTTATTTCATGAATTAATTTATATTAAAATTTATTAGTTGAAAAAATAAAATAAGTATGATTGTTGAAATTTATTTCTTTAATATTTTTTATATTTTTCAAATAAATAAAATAAGATGATATTTTCTTGAATATTATAATTTGAAATATTAATTAGCCATCTTTCATCTATCAATAAATTTATTTATTTATTTATTTATTTATTATTAATTTAACTCTGAAATATTATATTTCTTTTTTCAGTTTATGAATATTTTAGATATTATGTCTAAGTAGAGATTTTTTATTAAATTATATCAAATAAGGCTAAATTTAGAAATAAATAAGGTGAATGTATAAAAAATGATGATGAATGAATGAAAAATAAAATATTATCAGATAAAGCGATACAAAAAAATAAAAATATTTCAAACAAATATTTTATTCAATCACAACTTAACATAAGGTTCATTGATAACTTAAAATTTAGTGTTAGCAGCCAACTTTTCATCAAATACTTTTTCGATTTCCATCATTTGTTCTTCAGGATGGCATTCTTGGTATTTTTTGCATACTAATTCTTTTAATTTTCTTAACTTAATTTACTTGTTAGCTTTTTATTTTATGACCTTTCTGATAGTCTTCTTCCATCCTTTCCAATTTGACTTAGTTTATTCTTCTTCTTCTTGTTCATTTTCTTGAACAGCTTAAGTCTTCTCAGCCTTGTCTTATTTCTTTTAGGCTTGTTCTTCTTTTTATTCTTCGGCAGCAGTAACCTTTGTATCTTTTTGTGCTTCAGCCTACTTTTATTATTATTACTTTTGTTATTATTGTTATTATTAGTTTTATTTATTTTTATTTTATTTTGCATATGGTCCATGATATTTTTCTTATTCTGTCATGCATTAAGTATGCTGTTTGTATTCGTCTCCAACAAATGTGTTTTAGCAGTCGATGCAAATAAACTTAGCGGGTCTTCTACATTAAAAGACGTGCTTATCAAGTTATTTCTTTTTTAATGTTTAATCGCAGTGATGACAAACGAAAGTAACCATTTTATCTTTTTCTTTTTTTTTGACTTAAATTTGTGAATATATATTTATAATTTTTTTTTGAATATTATACTAATTAGAAAACAAAATAGTTGTTATTTATTAGTAGGCTTAAATATCTATCTATCTATTATCATAAAAAAATTTAATTGCAAAATAATTAAAGTCAGAATTAATTCAATTAAATTAGTTATTTTTTAGCTTTAAATTTATCCATATTAATTATATCAAGGCATCTATAATACATTGAAAATTGCTTCAAGATCGATATTATATTTCTAAGGGGTTTTTAATTTTTTGATAAATATTTTACAAAAAAATAAATTGATAATTGGATGTTTTAAAATTTTAACAAACAAATTTATAAGTTTGTCATGCTTTAAAAAAATTATTTTTTCTTTGACATTAAATTTCAGCTGCTCAAAAGTTTATTTTAAATAAGAATAAAAGCAAATATGGAATATTTTGGTAAAAAAAATATGTCTAAAACCATTTAATTTGTTAATATACATAATTAAACTAATATTTCTTGTTGTCTCAAAATATAAAATAAATTTTATGGTTAAAATATAATTAATTTGTTGATAATTAAATAAAAATATTTATTTTTTTAATCTTAGTTTAAAATAATATTTATTCTATTATTAAAATATTTTAAAAATATGTTTATGTGTTAGTAATATTAACAGTGAAAATAAATATATTTTTTACCAAAAATTTATGGTAATGAAGTATAAGCTTGAATATTAATTAATTAATAAATTTATGAGCGATATATCAGAAAAATGAATTTAATAATCGAAATATAATCGAAGCTTTTCGTTGGATTAATATTACAAAAGGAATGAATGAATGAATAGATAAGAAAAGCAATTGATTATACACACCAATAAATAAATTAATAAATAATTTATTAATTTTTAGTTGATAGTTCTTCATATGCTTGGTTGTTCATTCATTTGTTCATTTATTTTTAATATTAAGAATATAAATAACAAACAAATAAATAATTATTTTTGATTTTTTGATCAAGGAAAGAAGTAAAAAATAAACATAATGTATCTGCAAAGCAAAACCACTAATAACATTCCTGGCTATACTGGGTAATATTTTATTTTGTTAGATACAATATTTTTTCTGCCATTTTTGTAGGGCATAGATAAATGTTAATAGTTTATGATATTTACTGACTTATTCACTTTTATATAAATAGACATATTCCATAAGAGGAACTCCATGAAGATATTCTATAAATTAACTAAGCCAAATCACATATTCCAGGTAAGCATTAGCGACAAATATGAAAAATACAAGCTGAAAAAATTATCTTGGAAGCTTGTTGCTTTTTGCCAAACATTGATAATGCAAATTTTGTAAAAATAGGATATGCTGGCTACATTCCAGGAATTAGAAGCGAAAATATGTACGGTAAAACCTATGGTAAAATTACATACATGTCAGTAACAAACTAACATCACAAGGGCCCTGATCTTCCCCCTGATTTGAGATACACTTCAACAGTTAAGGGTGAATTCACAGATTAAAAGGGAGTTAAAAAGCAAGAATTACTGAGATAAGCAGTTATTGAAGAAGCTAAAATCACTTCTGTAACTTATTTGAGAATTATATTATGAATTTAGAAATATTTGCATATTTTTTAAACAAAATGAAAATCAACTCACAATATTTTTTAAATTAATAGTCTGGATACGGCAGCTCTCCTCTTAGGTTTGAATATTATGTTTATGATTAAAACATGTTATTTACCTTTTTCTTTTATTATTTAGGACTAAATATATTGACCCAAGCGAATACAAAGAAAAAGAAAGTAATTAATAAATTAATAAAATTCATTATTTTTTGATTGTTTTTTATTTGATAAGCATAAGATATAAAAAACAGTTATATTCATATATTAATTATGTGTTTATTTGAAACAAATCTTATTTTGTTCATTATTAAATAATAGTTCAACCTGCTCCAGAATGCAATTTAACTTATCAAGAAGCTTGCAAGTATGCATATTCAAACTGATACGATTCCTACTCTTTCTTTCATTTATAATAAACAATACAATTAAAATATCTATACTTCAAATTTATTGTTCTATATGTCTCTTCAAGTTAAACTATAAATTCAGATTTTAAAAATTACTTCTTATTAAGATAAACCTTTTTTCCATTTTAGCTTTTAAAAATATGGTTAAATTCCTTATTATATAACAGCTATTTAATTATTAATTAGATTATTTTAATTCTTCAAAATATTTAAAAAAAAAAGATAAATCTTAAAAATATTAATTCGTTTTATTTTCTAATTTCAAATATTTCATAAAAATCTTTTATAATCTAGCTTTATTTTATAATCTAGAGGTAAATAAAATATCTTATTTTTGTGATTTTTTATTTTTAAAATATGGCTATTTAAAAGCTAGTAGAATTTATGAAAATAAAAAAATTTAACAACACTAAAAAGAAATCAATTTATAATATTAAATCCTTATTTAATTTTTGGTGGGCAGAATGGTAGTATTAATAAACTTTGATATGTGTTAATAAGTATTTATATTAACAAGTAGAATATTACTCTTTTAAATGTATTTTTAAAGTGAAATATTAAATAAAAATTTGGAAGGATATATATGCAGTTTTTATAAATACTTCATATAAATTAAACCTTTAAAAATTATTCAAAAAACACTATTTTTAATTAAACTTTCAAAACAATTAGATTTTCAAATAAACATGTCATTTACAATAAATAATAGTTTGAAACAATAAGATAATTGATAATAAAGTTAAAATATTTTATTTTAAATATATTAAAGAAGTTTTAAAATAGCAAATAAGTCCTAAAACATCTTTTGAAATAAATAAAGTAATAAAAATTTAATATATATTAACATTACTGAGATAATTAGATCTTTTAGTGGATTTATTTTTAATAAAATGTTTTTAAACCTAAAATATGTAATTAGAAATTGTATTTTTTGTGCTTCTAATTTTTAAATGAATAGATCCCAAAGTAAATTATTTTTAATGATTTGAAAATATTAATTAATAGCAAAAGTATTCCTTGCTGATGGTTATTTACATTTTTTGTTGAGCTTTTTTTAAAATATCTAAAACTTCAAGATACATTTAAAAGACTTAATATTTTCAAGTCTTTAGACATTAATTTGATAAAAATAAATGAATAATGAGTTCTATTAAAGATATTGAACAAATAAAATAATTTTCCTTAAAATTTTAGAGCATGATAATCAAGATTTAGCTTATTTTTTATTCAGTTTTGTTCTTTTTAGAATAATTTATTGCTATGATAAAACTTGAACCAAAAAAAAGTATTTATGAACTATTTATAGCAAAAAACCTTCATCATGAAAGATGCAAAAGCTAATAGTAATATTTAAATCCTAATTATTTTATTTTATATAATTGAGTATATATAGATTTATATTATGCTGAGGTATTTTAGTTATGATCTTTATCAATCTTAAAAATTCAATTTTGCAAATATTATTTTTGATTAACAAAATTTTTAAACGAAATCAAATATTTGCTAATTTAAAAAATATTAACTATTTGTAACAAATGTTAACAATTTTTAATGGTTAATAAATACTTCATATAATATTTTTCATTTTTTAAATTTGATATAAAATGATATTAAATTATGATTTGAAATGCTGAATTATTAAAATAATTATCCATAAAAACTTCTTTATCAACAAATAATATTTTGATTGTGATAAAAATTTATTGAAAAAATATTTCATTTGGATTTAAAAAATAATTTAAAATATTTAAATTAAAATGAAAAAAAAATTAAATCATATCATACAATTATTAAATAATTTGAAAAAGTAAATTTTTTATTTAGAAACATCAAATTTGATATTTTTTGATTCATTAGAATTGTATTACCATATTTGTTTTGATTAAATTTGAAATAAACTCAATAGAATCATAAATTATTTAAGATTGATTTTAATTTTAAAACTGAAATTAAAAACAAATTTGCTTCAAGCGGACAAAATCTAATTGATTATGAAAGGAAATGTATATATAATTTTTAGAAGGAAATATAGAGTGTTTGAATTAATCTATAATTAGAATTAAAATAAAATTTAGTAAGAAAACAATTTAAAATTCTTTGGCAAGATAGGTTTTGTTATATTTATAATTATTTTATAGAGAAGAGATAAATTAATTCAAGGTTTAATTTAATTAATAGAAGAAAATAAACTTTCTTTATTATTAATTAAGCTTAAAGAAAAAACACAAAGTAAAAATAAATGCATTTTAATCTGATACAAAATTACAATTAATTTGTCATTTATTCATATAGATTTGTTTTATTTATTAAATTTATCATTAAAGATTAATTATTTTTATGTAATCATTAAATATTGCTATTTATCTTTATAGTAGTAGAAGTAGAATTTCAAATAAGTTTATACTCTTTAATAAAAATTATAACAGCCATATTTCTCCTTTCTTATTTTTTAGTTCTGAGACTGATGTGATCATGTGAAATTATAAATAGACTTTCAGCTTTTACTTTAACAACAAATTTTAAGATTTATTAAAAACTATGTCTTTTTAACCAATAATTAGTTTTGTACCATACAAACGAAAATAATTTTGAATAAATAAAGTTAAACAATAATTTTTATTATGAAATTCGTTTAAATACAAATAATGAGCATGAATAAAATATTGTTTACTTTTGTTAAACACTTACACTGAATTTTAAATTTAAAATAAATATGTTTGTTTCTTCGACCTTTAAATAGTTTTAATTCAAATTCAAAATTCTCTTCAAATAATATTTGATGTACATAATCTTACTCAATATGTAATACAAAATCATTTTAGAATTAGTTTTTACATAAATAATTATACAAATTGTTTCTATTTAAATTTGTAATGAATTTACTTTTTATATCAAACAAAAATATCAAATTTTATTTAAAATTTTTTTCTAAAATAATTCTTTTTAAAGTAAAATTATGAGTTTATCCTCAAAATTGATAATCAGATAAAACAATTTTTTCAATGACTCAACTAAAATATCGTCTCAGATATATTTTTCGTAATACAAAAATATTATTTGAATCTGAAAGCTAAAAAAATAAGGAAATTACTTAGAATTTATTTTTAAGAAAAACAAATAAATAAATAGAACCTAAAAAATTTATTTTTTTTTTGGATTTTGATTTGAAAGATTGTTTTTAGTTATATAATTATGTTATAAATTGAATGAATTTTGGCAGTTTATAAATAGATATGCTTGTAATTTCTTAAAAAATAATTAAATTCATTCATTTTTGCTTCTTAAGTGTATTTTTATATGTAAAATGTAAAAAATTTATTTAAATAATTGCTCTTTCATTTAAATGATTTAACAAGCTTTAAAATACAACCTTTTAAAAAAAATTTTAGGATGCTAAAGTCTGCTTGCTTTTAAACTGAATTGTTGAATACAAAAGGGGTGTAGGAGATATAAAAAACATAAATAACTTACAATTATCAAGTTTAAATTGAAAGGAAATGAATCAATCGCTTTTGAGAAAAGGGTAGAATAATTAATTGAGTGTATCTTTTTTTGGATATTTTGCATATTAAAAAATAATTTGCTATTTTGCTTTATTGATTGATTGAGTGCTTGATTGATTGAATGACTGCTTGTTTTAACTTGCTTGCTTGCTTGTTTATTGATTGAATTTGATTAGGATTGTATCTTGCGATTTATTATAAAATAATAGAAATATAACAAGTTTTAGAGGTGCTATTGAGCTTTATATTGATAGGCGCAAAAAAAAATGCGATAAAAATGGAAAGAGCAATGGAAATAATGAAGAATTATAATTAAAACACACACGAATAGTAAGAGCTTTAGTAAGTTTAAATAACAATAAAGTTAGTATATGCAAAAAAATATATAATAGACTTACAAAGAAGCAGATGTCTTAAAAAGAAGAAATTGCATTAGGATATAATTATATAGACATTCAATCATTTAATTTAAAATCTAATATTGAAGTCGATCAAATCTATACGATTATTGGCTGACTGCATTAACAAATAAATACTTCATTTTAAGCGCTATTTTATTAATTATAAATCTAGTGAAAATCAGATCTTTCTGAAGAGTTCAAGTCTGGAGAGGGGACCTCTTTCACCAATAACTTTAACATTGGAACCATCAGTAACGAGCTTCTTTTGGTTTCTAAGTCTGGAGTATTAAGCTCTGGTAAGCTTGGTGAAACCCCACTTTTGGGAGGTGACGACTTTTTGTCTACCAGGGAATTTAGCCTTAGCTCTAGTAAGAGCGTCGATGGCATACTTAACGTGAGGTTCCTTGACTCTGACGGAGAAAAGAATAGAGCCAATATCAACACGAGCAGCCTTACCCAAAGCCTTACCGAAAGCACCTCTCATACCAGATTGGAGTCTATCAGCACCAGCACAAGACAACATCTTGTTAATTCTGAGTACGTGCCAGGGGTGGACTCTGCATCTTAAATGGAAAGCATCCTTAGAGATGAATTTAATCAAATTTTTGTTAGCAGCAATACGGGCAGCTTCCAAGGCTTCAGAGGTGATTTATTCCTTTTCATCAGAAACGATGTGAACAACGTAAGGGAATTCTTCAACGGTGGCTTTCTTTCTACCAGAGTCGTAGATTCTGATTCTGGCATCGGGGACACCTCTGTTGTATCTGGACTTGGGATAAGGCTTACCCTTAGGTTATCTGTAGCATCTAGCAGGTCTTCTACCCATCTTAATTACGAATATATTTTTGGAGTATATAAAATTTTTTTCTTTCTTATTTTTTCAATTAATTAATAATTCTTTGAATTATTTTTCGCCTTTCTTAATTTACTTTTTTTTCTTCTTTTCTAATTATATTTATCTTTCAATTCATACACAAAATCAAACAAAACAAAACAAAACAAATCAATACAAAACAAAACAAAACATCTTCTATCTATCTAAAATCTACATATTCGTTTCTTTGTTTATATAAAGGCAACTCATCTAATCAGCTCTCTCAATACCAATTTCATTTATTTATTCATTCATTTAATCAAACACCTTCTTATCTCTCTGTCTTTAATTACTTCTTTATTCTTTTTTCAAAGACAGGCATTTATGCTTATTTGATTAGCATTTATATTTTGCAATAAATACCATTCCTAAGATTATGATATCTATTATTCTTAGAGGTAGGATTCTCTCTCTCATATCATACTGTCTGCTTCAAGACAGAATTTATTTATTACCCATCAATTATTATCATTTATTTATTTATATATATATTGATTGATTGTTATCTTTTTATTCACTTGAATACATTTTTAATAAAAAACCTTTTTTAAAGCTGACTTTATTTAAGTAGTAGATATAATTAAGTAATTAAAATTTAATAAAAGATCGCGTAATCTAAATTTTAATCTTGTTGTGTCTCTCAATTTCTTAATATAACTAGGTTATTCTATTATTTGTTTCAAATTTAAACTTCGTAACTTATATCAAATTTTAGGACCCTATGAAAATCAAAAAAAATACAGGGTGCTATTAAAAAAATTCTCTTTCATGGATTCTAACTAAACATTTCTAATAATAAATTCTTATAAAATTGAGATACTTTGTATATTTAATTGACTGTTATTTTAAATTTTAATCTTTGTGTTGAAGAGCAGAAATTTTTTTGTGTAAAAATAGAATCTGCTGCATTAAATTGGTTATTACACACAAACTGGAGATATTTCATTCAATTTGTATACAAAAAAATCAATTTTTTAAAGTCAGAATAAAAAGAAAAAAAAATGATCGTTCTGCAAATAGAACTTAGGCTAAGCGCTTATTAAAACAGTATTCTCTTAAAGGTGGAAATTATTTAAAATTTGAGAGCTTTTATGTATAATTTTGTCTTTTTCCTCTCCTATTTGTAGAGCAGAAAGCGAACTAACAAGTACTGATTTGCTTTTATAACAATTTCTTTGTTCTTTGTTATTTCTATTTTATTCTTTCTGAATCACCTTACTTTTTTTCTATTTAGAATTTTTCTATGATCTTTAATATTTCCATTTCTAGAATTTTTCTTTTTTATGTGTACTTTAAATAAAGCCTTTCAACCTTATGCTTTTTCTATTTCGAAAATGGTCACTCTTTGATTTTGATTTGACCTTTAAAGATTTACTTTAATAAAATCTTTATTAATTCAACAAATTTTAAATTTCAGTATCAAATTACGTTCCCGAACCCCCTCAACCAATCGTTTTTATAATTCTGTCAAAATACATTATAAATCCCTTTCATTTTATGAAAATTTATCATGCAAATAAGATAAATTTGCTCATAATTCTTCAAAATTAATCAAACCTACTTTTACAAGAAAAAATACACATTCATTAAATTTATAATTATAATCCTTTTAATTTTCTATCTTTTTTCAAAAATTCTTCTAAATTATATTATTTCATTAAATATTTTCTATTATTTGATAAAATAAATATTTAAAAATTAAAAAAAAATTAAAGATTTTTATTTATTATTCATATGAGTAACCAAATTACTAAAAATAATTTTTTTATTAATTTTGAATTCATAAGTAAATAAAATAATCCATTTATATATTACAAGTCTTTTTGGTAATTTGGTTTGATATTTAATTGGTAAAATAAAATAGTTAAATTATACAAACTATTTTTCTGAAAAAAAAATAATACAAAAGATTTCTTCTCTTCATTTTTAGCATTTAAAATAGAAATATAGAGAATATTTATGCAGAATATTTAATTTTAATTGATGTGGCTAAAGGGATTATTTTTTTTAATAAGCTGATTAAATATTACAATTAATTAACAAAAAATATTATTTGCTGATTTATAATTGTAATAATATTATTGTTTGCGTAAAAAATTAATATTATAAATACTTAACTAAATGGAGAAAATAAGAGAAAAAAGAATCAACGAAGAGCTTAACACTCTAGAAAGGGCTAAAATTACTAAAAAGCTACCTTTAAATATTTAATATTAACTAGTTGAGAAGGATGGCGTACTAGATGACTACAAAATACTCATAAGTTTTAAAGGTAGACCAGATACAATTTGGTAAAATTATGAAATCAAAGGTATTCTTTCTTTCCCAACCGATTTTCCTATCGAACCTCCTTCCTTCTAATTTATTGATAACTTTTAACACATTCACGTATACTCTAATGGTGTGATTTGCTTGCCTTTAATAACAAAAGAGTTTTGGAACACTAAAACTACTGTGCTTAATGTTATCATTTAGATTGAAGATTTAATACATAGACCTCCAAATTTAGCATCTCCTGCTAATCATTAACTAAGCTAACTTTATCTAAACAGCAAAGAACAATACGAGAATTTTATAAAGAATATGTAAAAAGATGATTGTCTACCATAATGAAATTTCTGATAATATTTATTAGCATTATATATTTTATACACTGTAACAAGTTATATTCAAATTATAAGATTTTGAAGAACTATAAAATTCTAAATTTAATGTTATAAAATACTACATGAATTTTCAAATATTAATAGAATACATATTTTAATTAATTTTAATAGCGTTTTATAAACTTATATTATTGTAAAACATTTAATGCATAGTGTCTAATTTGCTTTTTGATTCACATTTTAATTCATTTTTCTCTAATTTAATTAAGAAATAAATTAGAGATTAAAGGTTTTTTTCCTTTACTATCAAATTTATGAAATTTCTATAAAAAAATTAGATATTTTCCTTTAAAAACTGTAATTAATTCATTAACTTAAATGAAAAATGAGTTTGAACTTAAAATAGAATCATGTTCTATTTTAAATAGTATATAAATTAATTTATAATATCAAAAAGAATTTCAGAAAAAATTATTTAAATATTGTAATCACTTTAGTATCAGTCAATTCATTCTTTTTAAATCATTAGATCAATATAAATGTTGCAAAAAGATAATTAAAATACGAAGTATGAATTAAAATTAAAAAAAACTAAATATTGATTGAAATTATTTTAAAATGAATAATTTAGAAAGAACTATTTAGTAAAATATGAATTAATTAAATACATCTATGTTGGTTGATAGTTAGTTATTTAGTAAAATAATTATTAAAAATTAAGATTTGAGTAAAAAAATGTAAATGAAAATATAAAATTAAATATAGGATGTAATACAAATAGATTAATATAATCTCTCTTACATAGAAGTAAAGAACGATTTTATTGCAACCAATTATGGTGCTAACTAAAAGCCTAGAATATATAATGTATTTATTCAATAAAAAAGAAAAATTACTTATGAATAGAGAATAAAATATATTTTTATGTATGTGAGAGATTATTAGAATATGTTTCTAGAAAGTAATTATTGGTTTAATAGTAAGTAAAGAATAAATGATGAGAACAGATTATTTATTGTTTTATGCATATTTAAATCATATTATTATTATTTTTATTTAATTAAGGCAATAATGAAACGTGAATTAATTAATTAGTTGTATTAACGATTTATTTAATTAATAATGAGAGTATTATTTATCAGACTAATAAACGAGTAAAATTTATTGATGACTATTCAATCTAAAATTACTCATTATTCATCTTTAAGCTAATTATTAACTTGGTATTTAAATTGGTTTTAATCTAGCAAATACCTATACTTTATATTTGAATGCTCATGATTAGAATTTATATGATAAATAAATATCTAACTAATTACTTTATTTCTTTGTTTTTGCCTGCTTTTCTTATATTATTTACTTGATAATTAAATTTGCCTTTAATGGTGATTATTGATTGATTGTTGGTTTATATTTTACTAATATCTAATATAATTATTATTGGAATAATACAAAAATATTACTGAATTATTCACTATTGAAATCCGTTTATTTCATTTATCTGCTTTCAAAGTTTTCATTTATTTTACTATATTATTTTCCTAATTATTTATTTATTTGTTTGATTGATTGATTGGTTAATAGCCATAATAATATTAATTTTATTGGTTTTTTATTATAATTCGAGTAGGAAAGATTAATTAACGAAAAAATGAATGGATAAATGTTTGATCGAATTAAAGCGAGTTTGATGCTTATTTTTTTAATTGGAATATATTAATATTGCTATTTATAATAATAAAAAAGTGTTAATTTAGAATAAAAATGAATGAGAATTTCTATTTTATTTCAATGGAAATTATATAGATTGATCATTGCTATTGATGAATGGGATAACCAGTGTTATTTCCATTATATTATTATTAGTTGTATAAATTATAGTTTTAGCTAGCCTGATTATTTCCGAAAAATTATTATTCTGTTTGGTTTAGATTTAGCAATTAAGGATTATTTTTTTATTACATTATTTTTTACTTTTGATCTGGAGACTTAATGTTTAGATTTCCAAATTAGTCTGCCATCTCTTAACTAAGAATATTATTCTATGAATGTTAAGGAGATTCACCATTTTATAAATCAGCATACGATGAATGTCCATTCACATTTTTTATATTGTTATTATTACTATTTTCAATTTAATTTACGTTTTAAATTTAATGACCTTGGTTTTATTCCATAAATTTGACAGTGTTATTGCTTTAAAATCCACCGTTTTGTTTTTTAGGTGATCTAACAGGTGATTAAGACTATGATTATGTTTTGGAGCTGTAAGATTATTAATTTTATAATTACTAGAATTATTAAAGTTATTATTTGCTTTCAATTTAATTTTATTCTAATTTTAAATGAAGCTACTTTTCATTCAAACTGTTATTATTACTTGTATTATTGCTTGCTAAACTACCTTACACTATGTTTTGATAATTAAATTCTCCTTAGCCTTGGAAATAGTCTTCCTTATTAGGAATATCTTCACAGCTTTTTCCTCTTATGATAGGCAAAACTTCTGAGGGTGGAAGTTCTTCACTATGTACTTCACCTCCGCTACCATATCCTTCTTCCTCATCATCATCACCTGGTTTTAGAGATACTATTGTTCCTGGTTAGCTTTGATTTTTCTTCTTAGGTAGAGTAGGACTCTTTGAGTCTTCTTCTCCACCGTTTGCTTAAATACCTTATTGCTTAAGCATTTCTTTTAGTTAGTCCATAGTATAGTCTTCTTCTTTGCCATTAATTGATAACATCTCCATGGCTTGCTTTTTGGTGACGAATCTACCTTTAACTCTAAGTCTACCATCTGCTACTTTCTTTCTTACATCATAAGAAATTTTCTTTTACCAACTAATTTTTCATACAAAATATTATTGAAATGATTAATTAATTGAATAATATTTAATAAAGAATGAAAGTTTCAATTTTCTTTTTTTTTTGGAATAGTTAAAATGATCCCAGCTTAAAAAATGTTTTAAATTTAATAAAATCAATTGTTTAAAATTTTAATTTACGATCTTCTTTTTCTTTTGTCCTAGTAATTTTTAATCTTTTGCTTTCTTTCTTCTTTGCTAATTGATCCAATCTGCTTTTGCTGCATTTTAAAAATAAATTTTAATTCACTTGATATCCTATTTATTTGATTACATCGTCATAAACAGCAGTAAATTCGTTCATATTAAAATCTGTGGGTAATTCCTTTAGTCTTTGTAATGAATTCTAATCGATTCCGCTAATATGCTAGGTATTTGGATCTATCATAACTTTTCCTAATGCATTAACTGGTTAGTAGTAAGGTTATCCAGGGTATCCCATATTTTTTCTAGTAAATAAATATTTTTGTTTAATTAATTGGTGATAACAAAAGTAATATATTACTGCTAATCTTAATTAGAGACTTTGACCAAATGCAAACCAAATTGTTGTTGTTATTGCTAATTAATTAATCCTTAATTTAAGTTTTAAGTGCTCTCAGGCTAGGGTTAATCTGTTTATATATTTTAAATTAATTTACTATTTTCCAATTATTAGAATAATTAATTAATTACCTAATTTTGCAGTATTTTTTCTCTTTCTTCCTCTAGGAGATGCAGGTGAAGAAGGCTCAGTATTTCCGGTTGGAGAACCTTTTTTGATTGTTTTTCTTCTACCTGGACTATTTGGCTAACGCTTTGAAGGATCCTCTTTATCTTTTATACTTGTTGAAGATCTAATTATTATAAAATTTGTTGCTAAAATATTCTACTTATTTTTATTAATTTTTATTTATTTATTACGCTGCATTTTATAATGATGGAATGCTTTATTAAGAACCTGGAGGGTATTAACCAGTTGGATATTATGGATATCCTTAGAAATATTGATTTTATCCCATTAAATCATCTTTTTTTTGAATTCCGTATGACTGATTGCTTAAATAGTAAGGATAAGGAGGTTGTTAGTCATATTAACTAGGTATTAAATAGTTTGATCCACCTTACTTAATCTTATCTAATTAAGAAAAATAAAATTAATTTATTGTCAATCTATGAAGATAATTTTATAAAATTTTAACAATTAATGTAAATAAAGTTAAATCAATTGATTACCTTCTTGCTAACTTTAAGAATCACCTAAAGAATTGATTAATTGTAATTCCTATTTAATAAAATAAATATTGTTTAGCTTTTAGTTGCGAAAATAAACACCAGCAAAATAATAAATTAGATTGATTGCTTTTTTTTATTGCAGATTTTTAATCGTTCTAGTTGATCAGAAGATTTTATCTAAAATTGAAGCATTTTGTTTTTTTTCTTTCTATTTAAATTGCTTTCATATTTATTTATGATAGACTTTATTTAGAAAAATTATTTATCCATTTAAAATGATATAGAACCTAAACTAATAAATTAACAAATATCATTTGTTGCTAAAACTACTTCTAACTAATCACTAGAAAACTATCTATCCTAATTTTATTATTTTACTAAATTATTCTGCTAAAATTCAACCTAAAATTTATCAATTGTTTTTATTTTTTGAAATGTTGTTCAAAAATATTAGAAGCCTTATTATTATTTATTTATTGATTTATTTGCTCTTAAATAAATTTTAAGTTAAAATATTTTTAAAAATATCTAAAAAATTTGATTATTTTAATTAGCTCTTATCGTAATCTGTTTTGCTTGTCTTTTTATTAATCGATCGATCAATCGATATCTTTCTTTCTAAATAACTAACTATTTATTGTTTAGTAAATCTCTCTATTCTTAACAGATCATTAAATTATTTCTATTTACCTTTCAATAACTTTCCCTAATCTATTTTTATAATGCTTGATGATTCTTCATTATTAAGAGACCAATTTGGAAGGGAAGAAGTAATAAAAATGAAAAAATATTTAGTAGAATGCTAGAAGAGAGAATTAATGAAAATTAACAAATTAGAATGAATTCTTTTTATAATAATAGCAAAGTTCTTAAATATATCAAAGATATATACAATCAAAGAGGAATGATGGAGAAAAGAAAAAGAAATTTCATTTAGGAAAAAATTTAATCAAATTCGATTGATTGATTGATAAATTTATTAATTAATTAATATGCTCCTAATTTTTCTTTTGCTCTTATGATATGCATCTAAAATTCTGAAAAATAAACTTTCTTCCTCCTCCTCTTAAAAATTTTTAATTATTAAAATTGAAAAATAAATAGGTACTATTTATCTATCTATCTATTTATGTATACTTTACTACTACTTCTCTCTCCCAGACATTCATTATAAAAATCAGATTCTTATCAAATACATAGATTTTGAATAATTATTCTAAGGTCTATCTATCTATCAAGATAGTAAATTAAAAATTGAGATTGAAACGATAAGAAACTTAATAGTAAAAGGCTTAAAGTTTAATTTTAATAATTTAATATAAGATAAGATTTTTTAATTGGATATATGAAATTTAAAGCTTTTTTAATCATAATCATCTATTAAATAAATTTCAAACATTTTTTTGTAGCTTGCTGGTGTTCTTTTTACTTTTAAATAATTTGTTTTTTTACATTTTCCATTGCTTGTTCTTCATTTTTTATACTTGCTTTTCCGATTGAGGACTATGGTGGTCTAGTTTAGTTAGAGGAGTCTATTATACCTATTTAGTTTTGGTTTTGGATTAAACCATATGGATTGTGGTGGTGCAATTATCCGTTAGGTAAAGGCTAACCAAAAGGCATATAGCCATTTCCTGGAGGTCCATGATACTAACTTTGTTGTCCAAATGCCATGTAATTTTAATCTATTGGTTGTCCTGGAGCGGTTCCGAATGCAGCTCCTGGGTGATGATGAGCGGAGTGATGGGGATGATATTATCCGTAGGGTTATTAGGCATTAGGATCAAGTCCAAGATTTTGCTAGTAATGACCTGGTGGGGGTAACTAACCTGGATAAGTTGCATAAGGGCCTGGGCCTTGCAAAGGTTAGCCATTGCTGCCTATTTAACCTGTTGGGTCTGTTTATAAATAAGATTTTTAAATATATTTAAGTTAATATAAGAAAGCAAAGAAATAGAATGATTGTGTTATGGCTATTTAATTTGACAAAGATTAATGTTCGCTTAAATAAAGACTGTACGCCTAATATTAAGTTTTGCTAGATTAATCTTATTCGTATATTTGGAAATGGGGCGAGTTTCTTTATTGTATAACTAATACTATAACATAGCATATACTCTGTATTAAAAAAAGAGTAAATATGTAAGGTATAGATAGTATTTATCTTAATAAAGCAATTTCAACCGCAATCCATTTACTTATAAAACTTCCTTTTAAAACTTTCTTTTATTTGAGCTTTGCCATACTAATAATGCTTGGAAATGGGTATAAGTATCTTACCTGATGAGAGAGGCACGGTGCTTGGTGTACCATAATATAGTCCGCCAATTTAGCCTGTTGGATCATAGTCGTAAGGACCTTGTGAATAGGTTTATTGCATATATGGGTCGGAAGGATGTGAGTATCCGTGGTGAAGCTGACCGGGGTAGTGAGAAGAAGCAGAAGGATGGTAAGGACCTGTGGGAGGAGGATTGCTAGGATGCACAGAATAATCAATAGGACCTGTCATATGATTTGGATAAGGAGCATGAGGATTCTGATAGGGGATGTGTTACATCTAATGACTCTGAGGATATCCTGCCATCCCAGTAGATTGATAGTTTGCAGAAGAGGCACCTTGAGTTGCACTGCCTTGCTATGATGTTTGCTATGGATGCTATAAATAGTATGCTTGATCCTCCATCTGTTACATCTGTTTGGTAGTAGTTGCTTGCTGAAGTTATCTTCTTGATTTTGTACTTGTTTTCCTTTTTTTTCCCTTTTGTATTATTTATGAAAAGTTTTTGATCATGTGGTGTTGATTGATCAATTGATTAATGAGAGAGCAAAAGTTCGCCGTTAGTCTAATAAATAGTCCTAATTACTCTTTCTACTCTCTCCACTCTAGCCCAACAAAATAATGTCAGGTAGAGAACCTAAATTTATTTAATCTTTTTATATAACTCTCGTACTTTTAGTGGGTGAGATTAGGATGTCTTTCGCTTATGCTGCTTTTTCTTCTTTCTTTTTTTAGTTAGTTTGTTTGTTTGTTTATTTTCTTGTGCTGTGATTTCTTTCTTGGCTACTTAATGCGCGATTGTTTGGTTGATTTATTGTTTGATTAATTAAATTATTAAATGACTAAGATAGGAGTTGTCTTCTTTGTTCTTTACTTTATTGTTATTATTTTCTTTCTTTCTTCTTTTTTTATTTTTTTTGATTGATTGATTGTTTGTTTGTTTGTTTGTTATTTCTTTAGCTTCTAGCTACTTGCTTTTTGGATCTATTATTTTATTTATTTATTAATTTGTTTGTTTGTTTCTTACTTTGATTCCTTCTTACTTTATTTTTTGTTATTATTTTTCTGTTTTTGCATACCTGTTCGTCATCCCATATTAACTTTTAGGATTTAATTTCTTTCTTTTATTTGTTTTTTTTTTACGGAATTTGCAAAGTTACTGTTGGAAAGACGCAAGTTTTTTTTGGTGTGCTTATTTATACATTCCGCGCATACAAATTAATTATCTATATACATCTATCTTATCATATCTTCATATTATTATATATATCTTAGCTATCTATCTATCTAATTATCAATTTTTTGTTAACTTTTTTCTGACTTACTTCAATTTTAGTAATAAATTCTATTTAAATAAAAAGTATGATAATTGTATGTCTTCTCCCTTTACAGTTAATTTTCTTTGGAATCCCTACTTATTTAAATTCATTTAGTTTCCAAAATTGATAGCTTGTTCATCGCACTTGCCGAACATAATCGCATTTCACATATTAAATATATTAAAATAAGCAAATTATATAGTATAAATTTAAAATCTTTATGTGTATCTTAAAATTTTTAAATTGAATTTAGGTGAAAAAGAGCCAATTTCAAATTATATCGACTTTAGTAATGTAATTAAATAATCAGATAAATGAAAAAAGTGATATGCATTAGCCAAAAAAAATTGATTAAAATCAATTACTCGATTAAAATTATTCATTTTCAATCAAACAAATTGCAAATTTCAATTTTTGTTCTATTAAATAAACAAAAAATGTTTATAAAAAATCTTAAGAAATTTTGACTTTTCTGTTTCCCTTTAAAATTTACTACATTTAAATATACTAAAATTATTTTAATATAAAAATCTCAAATATTTGGATTTATTTAAAATTGATAAGCCATGAAAATAAAGATTTGCACAAGACAGAATATTTCATTGAGAATTGCTTATAGAAGTCTAATTACATTTTTTTTATTCGATTATCTCTTTATCTGATAAGCTAGCTCTAAAACTTACAATTTTCTTTTAACTATTTCTCTCATATCAAAATAATAAAGTTTATTAGATAGATTTATTTAATAATATACTATTTTAATCTAAATAATTGAATTACTACAGTTAGTTAATTAATTATTGAATAAAATATTTTGCTTATTTTATTAATAAATATTATTTTAAATTTAACTAAATTATTCTATTTGTATAAAATGTTGCTGTTGTTGATACATATTTAGTTATTTAATTATTAAATTTATTTGCATTAATATATTTCTAATTTTGTAAACAAATTAATTAATTAATCAATCAATAAAAAATGCAGATTGGAGAAGAAATATTTTTATATCGAATATTTTATTTATTTATTATATTATCTTAAACAATAAAATAGTCTTATAAATTTGATTGTTGGAATATTATTTTAGCCTGACACGTTCCTTGCCTTTTATTTAAGTATAATAAAAATTGTATAAAAGATCTTTCTCTTAATTTTGATTTCCTAGAGAAAAGCTTAGTTATAGTTGACATTTCCACAAAATTCTTTTATATTTCCTTCAAATAGATGCTTAAATTAATTAACAATATATATTTATCTAGAGTGAAGCTAACAACGAGCGAATTAATTTGTAATCAATTTAGATTTGAATTTCAACAAAAAGATTTTAATTATTCTTTTTATAAATACTTTCCTCAAATTAATATTTTCTTTCTTTTACCTTTTTTTGTCATTGATGATATCTTTTCATTTAAGAGCACAGATTCTAATCTGACAGTAATATAAAAGATTGCGAAAATTATTAAATACCCCAAAATATCGATTGATCAATTTTTAACTCTTACTCTCTCTTTTTATTAAATTGGGATTAAATTATTGTTATCATTAAAATATAATAGCGAAATTTGATTAATTCTGTTCAATTTGTGATGCCTTTTGAAGAATAAAAATTAAGATTAAAATCCTTTAACACAAAATACTATTCAATTCTTCACATGTTTTAAAAAGCGCCTAACGACTAATTGAGTAATATCTAAATTTAAATTGGCAGTTAATATTTAATTAAATCAATGTTGACTTTGAAATTTCAAGTGAAATGTGTTTGTTTATTTGTATTAATTAATCATGATTAATTGACTTTCTCCAAATTTCTATTTATATGTTATTATAACAAATAATTTTAATTTCTTCAAAATTAAATCTAAAAAGCATCAAATTTAAATAAGATATTTAATTATTTAGACTAGACACACACAATCTATTTTTATCTAATTAATTTATTTGATTAAAAGACCAAATAACTAATTAATTACTCATATGATTTCAAAATTCTTTTTTAAAAGCAGTTCAATTTAACATTTGACTTGGCATATTTAAAATCTAACAAAATTATTCTTATTAAAAGTGATTTGATTCAAATAGAATATTAGTTTCATTTATTTAAAATCAATTTTGACTTTATAATTAAATTAAATTCTTTTATATTTTAGCTCGAAATAAATCTTTCAAATTTAACAAAAAATTAACACTAAAAATAAATATTAAATAAAAAATATAAAATAAAATTAATAGAAAATGCTTTCTAAGAACTTCAAAATACTTGTTGTTTTACTTGCATTTTTAACTATTGGGTAATGTCTCTTGACTATTCCATTGAAAAGAGGTAAGATTAACAAAGAATTATAACCTTTTATCAAGGGATCTATTTTAAGAAATGGAATCAATGGCAAACTCATTAACCTTGAAGACGATATTTATCTTGGTCAAATTTAAGTTGGTTTGTCTTAAGACACCTTCGAAGTTGTTTTCGATACTGGAAGTAACTTTTTCTGGGTGCCCTCAAAAAGCTGTGAAACTTGCATTTAATCTGGTATGACTAAGGGATATAGCTGCACATAAGAAGATGCCTGTGTCTCCTCTGAATTCGTTGAACGCATATACTATGCCACAGGAGATATCTCTGGTAATGTCACAAACTTTGTTGTGAGTATTCCTGGTACAAAACCTGTAGATTACTTTGGTATTTTAGTTGATTTTGTTTAGGAATTGCCTTCAGGACTTTAGGGTATTATTGGTTTGACTCCTTTTTATGATTTCTAAACTGAAACTAAAAAACCTAATCTAATTACTTTGCTCTATCAACAAAAGCAAATTGAAAAACCTATTGTATCTTTCTATCAAGCCTTTGAAGTTGATGAAAAATCTGGAAAATATTAATCAGCAATAACTTTTGGAGGATATGATGAAACAAAGATTGTTGAAAAGCCAAATTACTTCAAAACAATTAAAAAAGATTCTTGGTCAATTCTAATTGAAGAATTCGTAGTTGGAGGTGTCAGTATCTTTAAAGGAAAAGAAGAAGCTTTAATTGATAATGGAACTACTTCCTTTTATATTAGACCAGACATAGGCGGAAAATTCTTCGACTACATTATGGGTGTTAGAAATATTACTTTAGGTGATAATTATGATGTTGACTGTGATGCAGATTTTCCCAATGTTTCTTTTACTTTCCTTAATAATGAAAACAAATTAGTTACTTATGAAGTAGAGCCTGATTTTTATATTACCAGAGGAACCAACAACACTTGCTACATCTACTTTGAAGGTTATATCGGAGCTCCCACATTTGTCATCGGTAATACCTTCCTCAGAAAATACCTTCCCGTATTCGATTATGAAAAAAAGACTGTTGGATTTGCTCGTACCGTAAATTAAGCTCCCAAATTACCTTAAAAAGAATAAATATAATAATATTGAAATTATAAAAGAAAATGCATATTATATAATCTTAATTTTGTATGATTCGTCATTATTTTACTCATTAAAACTAATTAAAAAGCTTCTTTAATTCTATTCATTATTAAAGATATTTAAAAAAACAAAAAAGTTTTTTTTTACACAAGCAATACAAACTAAGAAGCAAACAAACGAAATTCAATCTAAATTTTAATATCTCAAAATAGAACTAAAATTAATTAATTTATTATTAATTCATTTATTTATCATTTTTAAATTTACAATCAGAAATAATTAAATTAAAAAAAATTATTAAAGAATTAAATGTTCTATATACATTTTTCTATATGAAATCTAATATAAAAAATAAATTTTAGATTCAATCAATATTTGAAAAAAACAAGATATTAAAATCGCATTATCTAAAAGTTGCTATGAAAAGCTAGCTTGAAATTATAATTAAAAAAGATTTTCATTAAAAAAAATTTTCCTTATAACTTCAGTAAAAGAACATATTATTACTGAAAAATATTTGTCAAAAACATTTCAAATTTGTTTCATCCTATAAAATTTTTATGTATTTCAATAAATGATGTTAAATTATCAACATTCAAATTTTTTAAATTTTCATTTAATTTAATATTCTAAGATAAAAATATTTATGAGAAAATATTGCCAGCAAATAACAAACAAACACTAATTTTTATAAAGTATAAATTCAACAAAAATTGACTAATTAATTTAAGTAAGATTTTTGCTTAAAATACAAATTATCTAATTTATAATTTTACAATAAACTATATATTTAAGACGTAGGAGGAAATTTGATTGTTTTATACTTCATAAATTAGGTTTTTAATATTTATTATATGATTAAAATTAAAAGGAGATCTTATAAAAATTTAGATTTTGAATGAGTAACAAAAATCCTATTAGAAATTTGATAAAAATTAAAAGATATTCTTTTATCACATTTTAAATTGTACTTTTTAAAAGCAAATATTATTATTAAGAAGGAAACTTTTTTTTACTTTAAAATTCTTTTATATTTTTATACATTTATTTAATAAATGAGTGATTATCAATTTCTGTATATAAATTATTATTTAAAAAAAATTAATTTACTTAAATGACTTCGGTTTCTGTAAAAATACTTTTCGTCTTTCTTGCTCTAGCTGCTGTTGGCTAATGCATTATTAGTCTTCCTTTAAAATAAGGACAAATCTCTAGAGCTGCACAACCTTATACCAGAAAATCTTATTTGAGAAGTACTCTTACCAATAAGCTAGTTAACTTCTTAGACGATATTTATATTGCTGAAGTTTAGGTTGGTAAATCTAAATAGAATTTCAAAGTTGTTTTTGATACTGGAAGCGAGCTTTTCTGGATCCCTTCTGCAGAATGCGATACCTGCAAAAAAGCTGATATGAAAACTTATAGTTGCACTGAAGAAGATGAATGCACTCCTAGTGAGTATTATGGGGAATTGCAATACGCAACTGGATACGCTGCTGGTAATATTACTCATTTCAATATTGGCATTCCTGGAACAGAAAATGTTGAATATTTTGGATTGCTAATTAACACAGTTTCTTATCTTCCTTCAGGATTCGATGGTATTATCGGCTTGTCTCCTATTTGCAAAGTCGCTGAAGGATCAACCTAACCCAACTTGATTCCTTAATTATATGAAAATAAATAAATTGAAAAACCTATTGTCTCTTTCTACTAAGCCTTTAGTGCTGATGAAAAAGCTGGAAAAGTATAATCTGCTATTACTTTTGGAGGTTACGATGAATCCAAAGTTGTTGGCAAAATATAATATTTCAAAACTGTCAAATAAAGCGCTTGGTATGTACCTTTTGAAGAATTTGAAGTTGATGGCGTTAAAGTTTACACTGAAAAGGGTTCTGCTTTAATTGATACTGGTACCACTTCATTCTATTTGAGACCTGATATTGCTGAAAAATATTTTGATAACATTTAACTGAAGAGAGGAATTAAAATTGGAGATGAGTATGATGTCCCATGTGATTCTGATTTTCCCAGCATTTCATTCTCTTTACGTAATGTTGATGGAGAATTAATTAAATTCGAAATTGAACCTTCTTTCTATGTCACTCCTTCTCTCACCAAAAAGAATGTTTGTTACTTGTACTTTGAAGGTTTAATTGGCAATGGACCTCAAATGGTTATCGGAAATACTGTTCTAAGAAAGTATCTCCCTATTTTTGATTATGAAAATAATACTATCGGCCTTGGTCGCACAATTAACTAACCACCAAGAACTTACCATTCCAAATCAGAATAATGAAAATATAAATATTAAGTTAAATAAACTATTTTTAACCATTTATAACATACATAATCCTATAAATTTTAAACAAATAATTTCTACATTTAATTAAATTTATTCATTTATAAAATGTGAAATAAAGTAAACGCGCGTTAATAATTTTGTAAGATTGTTTTAATTAATTTCTTTTACATCACCTTAATTTATTTATTTATAAAAGTTAAACGGATTTTATACTTTTTTAAAATACTCTTTATAAATAAGAAATCTTCTTTCATACTTAATAACTGGTTTTAAATATTTTTTTGATTCTATTTCGCTTATTTATTTAATCCCAAAATTAAAAATTTTAATAATCTCAGAATAGTTTCTGATAAAAAAGTCAACTTATTTAAAATCCTTTAAAAATACCATATTTAAGTATGATTTTTTTAAATAACGTAAATTATTTTTATTATAGAATGAAAGCTTGATGCAAAAAAGAAAGCATAAATTTTGTAAAAGAAAAATTAGAAATTGTTTTAACATAGTGCAGGCAGATTTCAATATTATTAAAAATTAAGAATGTATGAACTTGTGTTAAAAATAAATTTGATAGAAAAGTAGATATTTGATTTTAAGAATTATTATTCTAACAAGTAAAAAAGATATTTTTGAATCAGTAATTGTTAACGGTGGAATTAAAAATTTATGATTATGTATTGAACAAATAAATTTGCTCAGAATTAGAAATGGAAAATGATTATTATACATATTTTATTATATCTTTATATGCTATTTTATTATTATTCGCATATCAATTCTTTAGAATATTCTATTATTATTTATCTAATCATTCTGATAAAATTATTTTCTTTCCCAACAATTATTTTATTCATTTAATTTTATTTGTTGACTTTTAGCAAAAAATTTGATTAATTAATAAATTAATTTTACTTTTAAGTTAAATTAATTCTTTCATAAAATTTTCAGTGAACCTTTAATTTTTTCACTTTGATGAGATAGAATGGTATTAATTTATTTAAATTTTTTCCATTCAATTTTATGTGATTCCATTAATATCTAAAATATTTCTATCAATTTGTTTTTAGTTTTAATATCTTTTATTAGATTATTTTTCGTAAATTTTTATTAATAAAAAAGCTCTTAAAAAACATTTATTAATGGGTTTGAACTGAAAATTTAATTTAAATCTTACTTATTCTTTAGTTTTATTTTTTTTTATTAATCTTAATTTAGGAACTCTAAATTTTATTATAATTAAACAAATTTACTTTTGTATAGATATAATTAAATTAAGGGTCTTTTAATTAGAAAAGAATCATTAATTGGTTTTATTTCAGCTAAATATTTTTCTTCTTTCATTGAAAATCATGTAATAACTATTTCTATTGCTATTAAAGCTACTTAAAATTTTGATAAAATTTAATATTTCTAAAATAAATTAAATAAAATTAATTTTTATGAAACGTTTATATTTTACTAAAAAGCTATTTTTATATCATTAAAAATTAAAAATTTGATTTAAAATTATTAATGTTAAAATAATAAGAGATATTTAACTAATTTTTATGTTTAGTTATTAAAAACAAAATCATAATAGTATAATTTCAAAGTATTTTAAAAATATATTTTTTAAAATATGACAGAAGGTAATTTACATTAACTTTCACTGAAATCAAACCTTACCATATTTCCTTAAAAATTATAAATAAATTAATATACACCGAGATAATTAACTTGGATATATTTTTTTCAAATAAATTGGTCTTAATATTTTAGCACATTAATATTGAGGGAGAATTTATAGTATTAGTATAAATTTAAGAGGTAATAAAAAAGCATAAGTAAGAAATATAAAACATTATTAATAAAATGATTTGATAATAATTTTAAATACAGGTCTAATTTTCGAAATAATTGAGCTAAATATAACAGTTGTTCATATTTTTTAAAATTAATGTATCCAAATATCATGCATGGTGTCTATTACCTTACTTAAGTTACATTTGTTCTAGTTAATCTTTTATAGAAAAAAAATATAATAATAATTGAGAAAAAAATATACTCTTTTTTTTTAATTTTCTTCTTTTAATAAATAAATATTGCTAAATAAAATTTAATCAAAATAATATCAAATATCTATTTTATAAAAAAAATATTTTCATTTTTTATTTTAGAACTTTATTCATATTGCTCTTTCTACAAATACATAAATTTAAGTAAAACTTGATAATAAATATAGCTTTTTTGATACTTTACTTAATTAGAAAGATTTGTCTATAAAAGAAATATTCAGATAATCAATTATAAAAGAAATTTTTTTATTAAATGAGTAAGTAAAAGAAGTCTTTCAAAATTAGATTTAATTAATTTTATATGAAAAAACCAAAATAAACATTTTTCAAATTAAACTTTAAAATAATTATAAAATTCAATTTAAAGCTATTAAAAAAGATATTTTAATAAAAAAAAATAAACCAGTTTCTAATTTTGTAAAAATAAAATTATGTCTATTTAAAAAAAATGAAATTTCTGAATTATTTTTCTGATTATTAAAACAAAATTCTAATAAAAAAACAAATTTTAGATTAGAATTCGTTAATCAAATAAATACTAATAGAATTTTTGATCTGTAAGAAATTGAATTGTAAACTAACAAGGTTCCCATTCAATTCAAAAATGGACACATTTAAAAGATTGTAACTAAATTATGAAGATGATTTTTTAGTTTTTCTAATTTTCTAAAATAAAGTTTAATTCTTATTTAAAAATCAGGCTTTTAGATTACAAGAAATTAATTAGTAAATTAATAAAATATTGAAAGTATCAATTAGATAAAAAAAAATGAATAAAAGTTTGATGAAATCCTTCTTAGTGATTTTTGCTTTTGCTGCCCTTGGCCAATGCTTGCTAAGTATCCCCTTAAAAAAAAGTATACCATTTAGGTAAACTTTTGATACTTCCTCGAACTCTCACTTGAGAAAAAATGTTGTAAACAATCTTGTCAACTATTAAGATGGTATTTATTATGCTGAAGTAAAAATTGGAAAATCATAATAACCACTCTAAGTCATATTTGATAGTAGTAGTAGTGAATTTTGGATAGCCTCCAGCAAGTGTCAATCTTGTGTTATAGCTTAAATGTAAACTTATGACTGCAAAGTGGAAGATTTATGCATTACTTAAGAAGAATAATTGGTATATTAATTCGAAACAGGATTTATCACTGGTAATTTAGCTAAGTTTTATCTAGGAGTACCTGAAACAAATTCAATTGATTACTTTGGAGTTTTAATTAACGAAGTTGAAAGAATTCCTTCTAGAATTAACGGAGTCTTTGGTTTAATTCCTTCTGACAACTTAACAGATACTTTGACTCAACCTAACTTAGTCCTTTAGTTGCATTAAACTCAACAAATAGAAAAGCCATTATTATCTTTCTACTTTGCTTTGGAGTAGGATGAAAAAGCTGGTAAATAGAACTCTTCAGTTACTTTTGGAGGTTACGATGACTCTAAAATAGTAGGACAAATTGAGTATTTCAAGACTGTTTAACAAAATACTTGGTTTGTAGAGTTCAATGACTTCGAAGTTGATGGAGTTAATGTATTTTCCCAAGTAAACTATGCTTTAATTGATACTAGCTCTCCCTTATTTTAATTCAATCCTAATATCGCAGAAAAATTCTAAGCAATACTAGCTTAGAGAGGAATTTACATTGGTTCAGACAACCAAATTCCCTGCAATTCTGATCTTCCTACTATAGCTTTTACATTGCGTAATACCTAAGGAAATCTTGTGAAATTTGAAGTTGAACCTTCTTTCTACTTGATTTAGTCATCAAATTTATCAAATGTTTGCTATTTATACGTATATGGTGATTGCTAAGGTCCTGCTTTAGTTGTAGGAAGTCAATTCATTAAAAAATATTTGACTATCTTTGATTATGAGCAAAAAACAATTGGTTTAGCTCGTTCTATTAACAACCCCCAATAGTCTACCTTGTAAAATTGAAAATATTAATAAAAAATTTTATAAATAATTATGAATTCAAAATATATATTTAAAATTAAACTTATTTTTTTATTTTATTCATTAAATTTTTTAATACAAAAATTAAGTTAATTAAAAATAAAATTTAAAATAATTAAAAAAATGAACTAATTTTTAAATTAAAGTTGAATAAAAATAGATTTTTGTCATTAATTTAAAAAAATAATTTCATAAAATTAAATAAAATATTTAAATAAAGAAAAATTTATTAAATTTTTATTAGAAAAAATTTAATATTTTGAATTAAAATTACCTAATTTTTTTTAAATAAATATTTAATTAATAAAAAATAATAAATAATTTACTAAATTTTATTTTGAAAAATATTTTAAAGTGTAATTTATAAATTAATAACCCAGCTATTTAAGCATGTATCGAATTAAATAAATTTTAGTGAAATGTATTTTGCTTATATAAAAAGAATTCAATATTTTAAAGTAAAATTAAAAGAGATTCTTTAAATGATCTAATTTTTTTTTAATACCTAAAATAAAATTGAATGATGAAATATTTAAAAATTAATTTTTAAAATAGAATAATAAATTAAAATATTAATTTATAAAAATATTTAAATTTAAAAAAATTTTTAGCTTTTAATAAAATAATAATAATTTATATAAAATAGCTACTATTAATATATAATTTTACATTTTATTACTCTTCAACCAGTATAAAAAATATGCTAATTTTCAAGAAAGTCTAATAAAAACTATTTCAAACACATATTATATAAAGAAAGTTATGATATAGATGAATAATATTAATTTGCGATGTTTTAATAAAAACAAAAAATAATTATTAAGTCAATTTGATAAATCTTATTCGTCATTCATTTGTATTCAAGTAAATTAAAACTAATCAGTGCAAAAATATGAATAGCAAATTATAAAATCAATCTACAAGCAAGTCGCCAAGTACATATTATTTATAAACTAGGATTTCATTTTTCAATAGGCAATTTAATTCTTTAGATAAATATTGCAATGTCTTTTTTAAACTAATTAGTTCATTAGAGAAGGACTCCTTAAAAGGAGGATTCCATTTTGAATAAGACATACTCATAGATGAGCACGTAAATTTTGCAATCGTCTAAATCAGAAGCTACCCTTTAGCCTTTATCAGTTCATTATGCGCATCTTAAAGGTAATTTGGAATTATTATTTAAACTTTCTTAGAAAAAATATGAAGTAATTTTCTTTTAAACTTAAAAAACTAGATATGGAAGCATTAGGTAAAGAAATTACATAAAAAACTATGCAAGCAATATAAAAGCCTCTAAATTCTTCTACGAGAATTTAGAGAATTGATAACTAAGGAAATTAAATAGTAGAAGAGATAAAACCTGCAAAGAAAGTTTGTAGTACTTGTTTAATGAAAGATTTAAACATGTTCCCTGCAAATTACAAATTTCATGCATAGTGTAATGATAAATCACATCCGCACATGCTATAAGATCCTGAAAAAACAGGTAACAGAAAAATCAGAGTGATTAAAAAGGCTACAGGATCATCAGTTTCAATAACAAAGGCCAAATTATCATTTTACAAAATGGAGGATATGTCTTATGAACCTCCAATTCATTCTTTTAAAGACTTAGAAATTGAAAAACTTAGAGACGATAATGTAATTAATATATATTTTATTTAGTAGAAAATATCCTAATTTCTATTTTTAAAATATTATCAATATTTTTATCAATGAATTGGTCAGTAACAGTTAATAAACAAAAACAAATTATTTATTTATTTATATATTTTAGATTAAGCTATTGTAGAAAATAGAAGAGCAAGAAGCAGCATATTAAAAGATGTAGATAAATGTCATTTAAAAAATGAGGAATTTAATTGAAGAATTGATAAATTTTTTAAATTAAAATGGAGCTAATTTAACAGATAATGCAATAGAAAATCAAAAACTTTCAAAATATATACTAGACTGTCCTTTGAAGAATGAAGAATAAGCTAAGTAGCTTGAAAAATTATCAAAAAGAAATAAATATGAGTTTGAATTAAATATATAAAATGACGATTTAAAGTTAAAACTAAGAAATTTACAAGATGTTATGTATGGAAATACCTACATCTTGAATAGATAGCCTATAGATTAAGCAAAAGATAATGTAATTGATAGCCAAAAGAATAGAATACACAATTAGAATAGAAATATAACTCGTCTTGGAGACATGCTTCTAAAATTAAATTAATGTGACTAAATTTAAGATCCTGACAGTAAGATCAAGTTGCTTTCTTAAAAAGTTATAGATTTTTCTAACGAAATTGAGTAAGCAAAAAATGATGCCTATGCTTCAAAGAAACAAATGGATGAAGCTAATTCTTCTGCTTTGAGATATATGGTAATAAATTTAAAAAGTTTGAATGAAATATTATTTTTTCTTTGAATGAATTGAAAAAAATTAAATCAGATTTATTTTTTGTTCGAATAAATTCATAATTGAAATAAAAATTAAATTAATTTTATTATTTGTTAGGATTAACTTGATAGTGTATTAAAGGTAGTTTAAAAATACCCTCTCGTTTTTGTTTCTTATGTAGATAAAATAAAAGCATAATTACTTGAAATAGATACTTTTGAGGCAGATGTTGCAAGAGCTTAAAATTTATTGAGCAAAGAATCGCTTTAATATGAGGAGACAATAAGAATATTAAAAGAAGGATTTTAGGAAAAATAAAATAAGATAGACTCTTTGTAACAGGTAAATTGTTTGTAATAAATAGCATTAAATAATGATTTAACATTAATAAAGGAAAGGTAAAGATTAGAAGATTTAATGTAGGAAAAGGAATAGCTTTCGAATTAAAAAATTAATGACTTAAAAAATGTAAAAAATCAGTGGAGAATATTAATCAATATCATACATATTATTAAATTTAAAGGAATTGATTGAGCTTAGCAAGATTAGCAAATAGTAATTAGAGTCTCTGAATGAAAAACATCAAGAAAACTTAAAGCTGTAAGAGGAGTAAAAGTAAAAGCTTGAAGAGTAACTATCTAAGATAGAATAAGATTAATTGAATATTTAGGAACCAAGTTTAAACTCTTCTCCCTCATTTTTCTAGGACATTTACACTGACGATAATTCTGAAAAAGTTATTCAAGAACTTACAAGAATTATACTTAATTAGCAGAATTTCTAAGATGAGGAATCAAAGAGAGCTTTAAGATAAATATTTGGAAAGAGATACATGGATAACTTTAGGTTATTTGAAAAATAAATAAGCGAATTAAATTATAAAAATAAACAATTGCAACAAGAGCTTTTGCAAGAAAAATAATTTAAAAAAAGTTTATACGAAAAAATTGAATGGTATACTAAACTACTTATAAACATTCATTAAGTAATTTTATCATTTTAAAATTTATTTATTTGATAAGCATTTTATTCAATTCATTCAAAAATGAATGGATGGAAGGAAGGATGGATTAGTTTGTTTCATAATATCAATCTTAAAATAATTCTTTAAGAGAAAATTTATTTTGTAAAAAATAGTTTTTTATTCAAATAATTTTTATTATTTTAATAGAATGGGCTTAGCAGGAATAATGCTGAACTATTAGAATAAGACATGAATTGTATTCAGTAAGATCATTAAGAAAGTAGAATGGCAGAACTGGATGAAGACCCAACTTTATTAGGAAGAATGTCAGTTTTAAATGGAAGATTCAGTGAATTTAACTAATGTAAATTCATTTTTTTGATATTTTAATTTAATTTTTTTTGCAGTGTATTTACCTCCATAGAGAGAAAGCAGAGTTTCTTACATGAATGATTAGAAAACAGAAGAAATTAATAAATTAACTGAAGAAAACAAAGATCTTAAAGGAGTTATTAGCGAGTTAGAAGGAAAACTTAGCTTACTTGAAAGCGAGATATAATACTTGTAATTGCAAAATCAGTAACTCCAAAACAAGATGTCACAAAATAAAAATAATAAAGAAATTCAGGATCTTAAAAAGGAAATAGAAAACTTGGTAAACTTATAATTTTTAATCATCTTTTTCACTTTAAAGACAAATAAATCTATGTAAAAACAGAGAAAATAACTGAACGAGCAATCTTTTTTGAGCGATAATTCAAAAATAAGTAGGGGAAATACGCCAACAAGATATAAAGGAAACTCCGCGTATTCTTCAAATACGAAATTAAACTAATTTGATGACAATCTTGGCAAAAATATGTCAAGATTGAATTTATCAAGCATCACTGAACTACCTCAATAACAACCAGTAAAAGAAATGATTTTATTTTTATTAGTTTATTAACTTATTTTATTTTGGTCTTTTTGAAATAAAAATTAAACAAAGAAAATATTTTTTGTAATAATTTGAAAGCTTAATTACGAAGATTGGATGCAATTGGTAACAATACAAGCCATAACAATAGAAGAATTGTAATATAATAAAAAGACGAATAAAATAAATAATTAGAAATTGTATTTATTTATAAATAGTTTAGATAAGCATTAAAGAGATGAGCTAGAAAATATATAAGAAGAAGAGGGCGAATAATACAATTGAAAATGTATTTTTTTAAATTAGCAACTAATATAGTATTTATTTACTCTATATATTCAATAATAAAACATTATAACTTAAAAAATAATCACTAATAAATCAATTTCTCCTTCCTTTTTGTTTTAAATAGTAAGAAGGTTTTTTATTCATTTGTTTGTTTATTTTATGTATTTAATTGTGTTAGTTATTTAGTTAGTTTCTCTAAATTCAATAGAGTAAATAATGGTTATTATATTCATTCTGATTGGTTTTTAGATTCACTTTCTTCTTATTACTTTCTTTCTTTGTTTCTTTGGAATTGAGTTGTTATTATTGATATTGACAGGCTCATATCATTGGTAGCTTATTGCTTGAGAGGGCGTTTATTTTATTATTTGCTTTATTTTATTATATGAAGTTATTTGTAGCAATTTTCATTATTAGTTATTAATTATATATATGTTATAGCAAAATCTTACAAATAACAGCACTTCCTGTTCTATGTTCAGATAAATTATTATATACGATGAACATTCAGTGCTGGTTTAACCAATTTGTTTAAATTTCTCAGAAGTAAGGGTTGATAGATTTAACCTTTTCGTGGATAGAGTTGTATTTCTTTAAAGTTTTAGCATTTTCGGGGGCAGTTAAAAGAACAACTGAAGTAGGCTTTTTAGTTTCAGCAGCAGTACCTAATTCCATTCTAGACTTAACGAAAGCGTAAGGGATGTCCTTAGATTCGCAGATAACGGGAATATGACTCAAAACATCAGGGGGAGAGATATCAGCAGCCATGATGCAAACACTATTTGTTAAAAATGGATAATTGAAAACACAATATTAATTAAGCTTTCTTATTGATCAATTAAATTGAATAGTAGGATATTTAATTTATCATTCATATTTAAAATATTTTTCAATTTGTTTCGCTAAAGTAATTCTTTGCTATGAAAATAAATTTGTATTTACCCAGTAGCTCCCTTTCTGATGGCTTTAACGACTTCCTTAACACCTCTCTTGATGTTCTTTGTTTTAACTTCTATTTTTATTAAAAATGATTTGTAAGATGGTTTGTTGGTCATCTAATTAATCTTTAAGATCTATCTGATTGATTAAAGTAACTATGAAATAATTTTTTACACTTCTTGGTGAGCTTAAGAATTTTCTTTTCAAGCTTGGCAGGGGCAATGGGGTTTGCGATAGGAGAAACGTATAATTAAGTTTCTTATTGAACTCCTTCAGTATCAGACATTATTATTTTGGTTAAAGTGCTTTTATAAGTTAAGATATGAGTTTTTATTGTTTTTTATTTATAGTTTTTACTTTAGATTTAAAAAGCTTTTCTTGGTTTTTTTGGTATTGACTGATTCTATCTATCTGTACCTGCCTTAATTTTGTTTTTTGTTCAATATTAATTTATTTGATACTAACTTCTTAATTTAGTCTTTTGACTGATAAATATATATATCAAATCTCTAAGACTTCATTCAAAATAAAATAATCATTCACGCTATGAAGAACTTATATCATTTTTTATCTATTAAAATTAAATTATATATTTACATCAAATCTACCATTTTTATATTCAAACTCTATATCTATCTATATATATATTTATTAATACATTCTTCTTTTAATCTTTATGCTTTCATAGTTTCTTATCTAATTTCATTCAATTTTTATTTTATAAATATTATTAAAATTTCTTTAAAATATTTTTTTATTTAATTTTACTTATTCCTTAATAGCAATTATAAATTAAATTATTTAGTTTTTTAATAATCGTCTAAATTAAAAAAAATATTTTTATGTTAATTTAATTATAATTTTATTTTGAATTAGTTGTTCCAAAAAATAACTTAAAAAATAAATGATTTTTTTTATTAATAATTAATTATCATATAAAATACTAAATACAAATATATAAAGAGAAAAGTGTTATCCCACCACCACCAGAATTTTTCTATTTAATTTTTTCTACGGAGGATAATATCTATTCACTAATTCAATTGTATAGCCTTGAAATAACAAGGCAGTACCATTATGGTACTATATATATTTTCTATAATTAGTTAATTAATTAAATTTGCATTAATTGAAATTCAATATTTTTGAAAAAAAATAAATGATAAAATAGATTAAAAAATACTACATATTAGAAGAAGTAATAATTTATTTTTTTATGAAAAAGCTTTAAATTTATTTTTTTTAATATAAAAAGTTTTTAGACTCTTCACTTTAATCTCATTAGGTTCTCGATATTTTCCTAAAGTATATTTAATTTATAAATATTAATATTATTATCATTTTCTTTATATTTAACTTTCAGTTTATTTAAAATATTATTTATTATATATTTCATTTTCAAAATTATTTTCTAAAAAAAAAACAAACTCATCAATATTTATTGATTTTTATTAATACAAATATTTTTTTAGCGATTTTAACTTAATTTTCATTTCAGTTTTTAATTATTCATTATTGATTTTTTATTATTTCATATTTTTTCTTAGTTTTTGATATAAACACTTATAACTAATTTAAAACAATAAAGATCTTTTAATTTATTTGATTTATTTTTTTTTATTTTTATTGTAATTGCTTACTTTTTCTTCTTTCTTTGTTAATTTAACTCATTATTATATTTTTATTCTTTGTTTTATTATTAATTAATCTTATTATTTCATATTTTCATTCTAATTAATTAACAAATTTCTTCTTCAATATTTAAAAAGTTACAATGAAATTGGTGATGAAGGTATATCAGGCTTAGGTTCTGCTTTAGCAAATTGCACTAATCTCTCAACTTTGAAACTTTACCTTATGTAAAAAGAGTTTATTTGTTTTGGATTGTGATATTTATAATTAAAAAAACTAATTTTAATTTATTTGATTTATTTTTTTTTTTGCTTTTATTGTACTTGCTTACTTTTTCTTCTTTCTTTGTTAATTTAACTCATTATTATATTTTTATTCTTTGCTTTTAATATTAACTAATCTTATTATTTCATATTTTTTGTTCATTTTTTCCTTCTAATTAATTAATTTCTTCTTGAATATTTAAAAAGTAAAAATCAAATTGGTGACGAAGGTGCATCAGGCTTAGGTTCTGCTTTAGCAAACTGCACTAATCTCTCAAATTTGACACTTGAGCTTTAGTAAAAAGAGTTTATTTGTTTTGGATTGTGATATTTATAATTAAAAAAACTAATTTAAAACTATATAGATCTTTTAATTTATTTGATTTATTTTTTTGTTTGTTTTATTGAGCTTACTTTTTCTTCTTTCTTTATTAATTTAACAAATTATTATATTTTTATTCTTTGCTTTTAATATTAATAAATCTTATTATTTCATATTTTTTCTTCATTTTTTCCTACTAATGAATTAACTAAAATTTCATATCTCTTCTTGAATATTTAAAAAGTTAAAATCAAATTGGTAATTAAGGGGCATCAGGCTTAGGTTCTACTTTAGCAAATTGCACTAATCTATCAAATTTGACACTTAACCTTTAGTAAAAAGAGTTTATTTGTTTTGGATTGTGATATTTATAATTAAAAGAACTATTTTAAAACAATAAAGATCTTTTAATTTATTTTATTGTGCTTGCCTACTTTTTCTTCTTTTTTTAATAATATAACTCATTATAATATTTTTATTTTTTGCTTTTATTATTAATTAATATTATTATTTTATATTTTTTCTTATTTTTTACCTTCTAATGAATTAACTAATTAATTAATTATATATTTTTTCTTGAATATTTAAAAAGTTAAAATCAAATTGGTGATGAAGGTGCATCAGGCTTAGGTTATGCTTTAGCAAATTGCAATAATCTCTCTAATTTGACACTTGACCTTTCGTAATAAGAGTTTATTTGTTTTGGATTTTAATATTATAATTAAAAAAATTTATTTAAAACAAAATAAATCTTTTAATTTATTTGATTTATTTTTTTTGTTTTTATTGTGCTTGTTTTTTTTTTCTTTATTAATTTAACTCATTATTATATTTTTATTCTTTGTTTTATTATTAATTAATCTTATTTTTTCATATTTTTTCTTCATTTTTTCCTTCTAATGAATTAAATAATTAATTATATATTTCTTCATATATTTAAAAAGTAAGAATCAAATCGGTGTAATGGGTGTATCAGGCTTAGGTTCTGCTTTAGCAAATTGCACTAATATCTCAAATTTGAAACTTTACCTTTGGTAAAATGAGTTTATTTGTTTTGGATTGTGATATTTATAATTAAAAGAACTAATTTAAAACAATAAAGAACTTTTAATTTAATTTATTTTATTTTATTTATTGTGTCTTACTTTTTCTTCTTTATTTGTTAATTTAACAAATTATTATATTTTTATTTTTTGTTTTATTATTAATTAATCTTAATATTACATATTCTTTCTTCATTTTTTCCCTTCTAATTAATTTCTTCTTCAATTTTTAAAAAGGGGAAATCAAATTGGTGATGAAGGTGCATCAGGCTTAGGTTCTGCTTTAGCAAATAGCACTAATCTCTCAAATTTGACACTTGAACTTTCGTAAAAAGAGTTTATTTGTTTTGGATTGTGATATTTATAATTAAAAGAACTAATTTAAAACAATAAAGATCTTTTAATTTATTTTATTTTTTTTATTGTGCTTACTTACTTTTTCTTCTTTATTTGTTAATTTAACTCATTATTATATTTTTATTCTTTGTTTTATTATTAATTAATCTTATTATTTTATATTTTTCTTCATTTTTTCACTTCTAATGAATTAACTAATTTCTTCTTAAATATTTAAAAAGTTAAAATCAAATTGGTGATTAAGGGGCATCATGCTTAGGTTCTACTTTAGCAAATTGCACTAATCTCTCAAATTTGACACTTTGGATTTAGTAAAAAGAGTTTATTTGTTTTGGGTTGTGATATTTATAATTAAAAAACTAATTTAAAACAATATAGATCTTATAATTTATAGATTTATTTTATTGTGCTTGCTTACTTTTTCTTCTTTCTTTATTAATATAACTCATTATTATATTTTTATTCTTTACTTTTAATATTAATTAATCTTATTATTTCATATTTTTTCTTCATTTTTTCCTTCTAATGAATTAACTAATTTCTTCTTCAATATTTAAAAAGTTTGAATCAAATTGGTGACAAAGGTGCATCAGGCTTAGGTTCTGCTTTAGCAAATTGCACTAATCTCTCAAATTTGACACTTTAGATTTTGTAAAAAGAGTTTATTTATTTTGGATTGTGAGAATTATAATTAAAAAATTTAATGTAAAACAATAAGGATCTTTTAATTTACTTCATTTAAATTATTGTGCTTGCTTACTTTTTCTTTTTTCTTTATTAATTTTACTCATAATAATATTTTTATTTTTTGCTTTTATTATAAATTAATATTATTATTTTATATTTTTTCTTCATTTTTTCCTATTAATGAATTAAATAATTAATTATATATTTCTTTTTGAATATTTAAAAAGTTAAAATCAAATTGGCGATGAAGGTGCATCAGACTTAGGTTGTGCTTTAGCAAACTGCACTAATCTCTCAAATTTGACACTTGGCCTTTAGTAAAAAGAGTTTATTTATTTTGGATTGTGATATTTATAATTAAAAGAACAATTTAAAACAATAAAGATCTTTTAATTTATTTTATTTTTTTTATTGTGCTTGCCTATTTTTTCTTCTTTCTTTGTTAATTTAACAAATTATTATATTTTTATTCTTTGTTTTATTATTAATTAATCTTATTATTTCATATTCTTTCTTCATTTTCTCCCTTCTAATTAATTAACTAATTTCTTCTTCAATATTTAAAAAGGGTAAATCAAATTGGTGATGAAGGTGCATCAGGCTTAGGTTCTGCTTTAGCAAATTACACTAATCTCTCAAAATTGACACTTTTACTTTAGTAAAAAGAGTTTATTTGTTTTGGATTTTAATATTTATAATTAAAAAATCTAATTTAAAATAAAAGATCTTTTAATTTACTTGATTTATTTTATTGTGCTTGCTTACTTTTTCTTTTTTCTTTATTAATATAACTCATAATAATATTTTTATTTTTTGCTTTTATTATAAATTAATATTATTATTTCATATTTTTTCTTCATTTTTTCCTTCTAATGAATTAACTAATTAATTAATTATATATTTCTTCTTGAATATTTAAAAAGCCAAAATCGAATTGGTGATGAAGGTGCATCAGGCTTATGTTATGCTTTAGCAAATTGCACTAATCTCTCAAATTTTACACTTGGCCTTTAGTAAAAAGAGTTTATTTGTTTTTGATTGTGAGATTTATAATTAAAAAAACTAATTTAAAACATTAAAGATCTTTTAATTTATTTGATTTTTTTTCTTTTTTCTTTTTATTATGCTTGCTTACTTTTTCTTCTCTCTTTGTTAATTTAACAAATTATTATATTTTTATTTTTTGTTTTATTATTAATTAATCTTATTATTTTATATTTTTTTTTCATTTTTTCCCTTCTAATTAATTAACTAATTTCTTCTTTAATATTTAAAAAGTGAAAATCAAATTGGTGATGAAGGTGCATCAGGCTTAGGTTCTGCTTTAGCAAATTGCACTAATCTCTCAAATTTGTAACTTGTCCTTTCGTAAAAAGAGTTTATTTATTTTGGATTGTATATTTATAATTAAAAAAAACTAATTTAAAACAATAAATATCTTTTTATTTATTTTATTTTTATTTGAACTCATTATTATATTTTTATTCTTTACTTTTAATATTAAGAAATCTTATTATTTCAATTTTTTTAATCATTTTTTCCTTCTAAAGAATTAACTAATAAATTATAAATTTCTTCATATATTTAAAAAGTGAAAATCAAATTGGTGATGAAGGTGCATCAGGCTTAGGTTCTTTAGCAAATTGCATTAATCTCTCAAATTTGACACTTGAGCTTTCGTAAAAAGAGTTTATTTGTTTTGGATTGTCAGATTTATATTTAAAAAAAACTAATTTAAAACAAAATAGATCTTTTAATTTATTTGATTTATTTTTTTTGTTTTATTGTGCTTGCTTACTTATTCTTCTTTCTTTCATAATTTAAATCATTATTATATTTTTATTCTTTATTTTTAATATTAATTAATCTTATTATTTTATATTTTTTGTTCATTTTTTCCTTCTAATGAATTAACTAATTAATTATATATTTCTTCATATATTTAAAAAGTTAAAATCAAATTAGTGATTAAGGGGCATCAGGCTTAGGTTCTGCTTTAGCAAATTGCACTAATCTCTTAAATTTGACACTTGAGCTTTCGTAAAAAGAGTTTATTTGTTTCGGATTGTGATTTTTATAATTAAAAAAACTAATTTAAAACAATAAAGATCTTTTTATTTATTTTATTTTATATTGTGCTTACTTATTTTTTCTTCTTTCTTTAATAATTTAACTCATTATATTATTTTAAATTTTTGCATTTATTATTAATTAATCTTATTATTTCATCTTATTTCTTCATTTTTTATTCTAATGAATTAACTAATTAATTTTATATTTTTTCTTGAATATTTAAAAAGTGAAAATCAAATTGGTGACGAAGGTGCATCAGGCTTAGGTTCTGCTTTAGCAAATTGCACTAATCTCTCAAATTTGACACTTGGCCTTAAGTAAAAAGAGTTTATTTGTTTTGGATTGTGATATTTATAATTAAAAAAACTAATTTAAAACAAAAAAGATCTTTTAATTTATTTGATTTTTTTTTTTTTTTGATTTTATTGTGCTTGCTTACTATTTCTTCTTTCATTGCTAATTTAACTCATTATTTTATTTTTAATTTTTTTATTTATTATTAATTCTTCTTCAATATTTAAAAAGTAACAATCAAATTGGTGATGAAGGCGCATCAGGCTTAGGTTCTGCTTTATAAAATTGCACTAAACTCTCAAATTTGACACTTTACCTTTCGTAATAAGAGTTTATTTGTTTTGGATTTTAATATTTATAATTAAAAAAACTAATTTAAAACAATAAAGATCTTTTATTTTATTTGATTTATTTTTTTTCTTCTTTTTATTGTGCTTGCTTACTTTTTCTTCTTTCTTTGTTAATTTAACTCATTATTTAATTTTAATTTTTGCTTTTACTATTAATTAATCTATCTTATTATTTCATATTTTTTCTTATTTTTTTCCTTCTAATGAATTAACTAATAAATTTTATATTTCTTATTGAATATTTAAAAAGTGAAAATCAAATTGGTGCAATGGGTGCATCAGGCTTAAGTTCTGCTTTAGCAAATTGCACTAATCTCTCAAATTTGATACTTGACCTTGAGTAAAAAGAGTTTATTTGTTTTTGATTGTGATATTTATAATTAAAAAAACTAATTTAAAAAAATAATGATCTTTTTTATTCTACTAATGTTTTTTTATTTATTAATTTAAGAAATTATTTTTAATTTATAAATGAAATTTACAATAATTTTTTATAAAAGTTCTAACCAAATCAATGAATCATAAAAGCTCAGAGTAATTAGTAAATATCTTAAATCAAAAAGATTAGTTATCTATAGAATATACTGATATTATAATAAACAATTGGAAAAAAAATGAGGAATAAATATTAAATAATTGAATAATATAAAATAATATGTTTTATTATTTTAAATATAGAATAATGTTTTTTTAACCTAAAATATATGTAGATAAATAGATTTTATTATAGTTTTTTATATTAAAAAATACCATATTTTTGTAAATTAATATTGCTAATTGCAGATTTTTTTTTTGTAATAGAGAGATAAATAGTAATAGGTTACACCAATAACTATTTATCTTTCTAATATAATATTATATAATAGTATTTATATATATTTATGTATTTTGTAGGGATCGAACGTATGGCCATTTTTTTCATTCGGCCATTTAAATATATAAAAAATAAAGAAAATTAAAATATAATATTATTTTTAAGATGTATTCTGGGTGCATTTATATGTGCGAGTATTTCTATTCTATTCTATCACCAATTTAATTTACCCTTTTTAAATATTGAAGAAAAAATATAATTAAATAGCTATTTAGGATAATTTGGATAAGAAAATCAAGAAAAATAATGAAATAATAAGAAATTAATTAATAAATAATAAAATTAAATGTTGAAAATAAAAAAATTAGTTAAATTAAGAAACATAGAAGAAGAAAAAAAACAAGTAAATAAAATAATAAAAAAAAAGAAAGAAATTAAATAAAAATCTAATAAACAAATTAAAAGAGTTATATTTTTTAAATTTATTTTTATTTTTATAGCTAAAAATATTACAAACTAAAACAAATAAATTCTTTGTTTTACACTAGACAAAGTGTTAACTTTGAGAGATTAGTACAATTTTCTAAAGCAGAACCTAAGACTAATACACCTTAATCACCAATTTCATTCTCACTTTTTAAATATTGAAAAAAAAAATATATATTTAATTAATTAGTTATTTAGAAGGAAAAATAAAGAAAAAGTTGAAATAATAATAAGTAATGAATTAATAAATAAATAATAAAAGCAAATGTTGAAAATAAAAAATGAGTTAAATTAAGAATATAGAAGAAGAAAAAACACAAGTACAATAAAAGATAAGGAAAATAAATTAAATAAATAAAAAGCTAATAAACAAATTAAAATAATCATATTGTTTTAAATTCATTTTTATAACCAAAATATCACAATCCAAAAGAAGCAAACTTTTTATCAACTAAATGTTTTAGTAGGAAAAAATAAGTAAAAATATTAAATAATAAAAAATTAATAATTAATAAAAATTATAAAAGTGAAAATTAAGTTAAAATAACCAAAAATAAAATGAATGAAAATAGGGATAATCTTTATTAGAAAAATAATATTTATTTTAAATAAACTAAAAGTTTAATATTTAAAAAATTTAATAGTAATAATTATTATTATTATTAATGACATATACCTCAGATCAATATGGAGAACTTAATGAGATTAAAGAGAAGAATTTTAAAACTTTTTATATTAGTAAAAATAAATTTAAAGAATATTGATATAAAAATAAATAAATAATTACTTCTTCTAATTAGTGGTAATATTTAATCTATTATTTCATTTTTTTTTTTCAAAAATATTTAATAGCAATTTATTTATGAAAATTTAATTAATAATAAATGGATAAAAAGAACAAATAAATTATATGAATTTATAAATTTACTTTTAGTTAGTAAGAGAAATCACAAAAAAGTTAGTGTAACACTCATTATTAAATCTTAATATTTATATTTAAAATATGTACTGAAAAATATAGTTGGTATTAGAGATTGGAAATAAAGGATAATTAGTATGTGGACTCACTATTGCTAATTGCAGATTTTTTTTTTTGTAATAGAGAGATAAATAGTGATAGGTTACACCTATAACTATTTATCTTTCTAATAGAAATTAATATAATATTAAATAAATTTATATAATAGTATTTTATATATTTACATGTAATTGTATTTAATTTATAATAATTTAAATAAATTTAAAATTATTTATTTTGAAATAAAAATAAATTAAATTATTTATTAATTATAATTCTATTATAATACATATATATATATATTAAATTTTTTAATAAATAAATAAAAAAATATATTTCATAAAAAGTGGAATACAAACCATGAAATTTTTGTATGGCATCTTGCTATATTAGAAATATTATAAATATTCCCAAAATTACAAAACTAAAACAGAAAAATCTACTTATAAACGTTATTCTTATAAAATTTAAGAACATTAACAACTAGAATTTTTTCAAATAGGACTAAATAAATAACTGACCATCTCTAATTCTTACTATATATATTTTTAAGCGTTTGTTTTAAATACAAATATTAAGTTTAAATAGTGAATGTTAAATTAAGTTTTCTGTGATATCTCTTCATAAAACCAAATTATAAATTTATATTTGAAAATTAATTAATTATTATATTTATTTGTTCTTTTTATCCATTTATAATTAATTAATAAATTAATCAAATTTAATAAATTGCTATTTAATATTTTTGAAAAATAAATAAATGATATAATAGATTAAAAAATATAACTAATTAGAAGAAGTAATTATTAATTTTTATATTAATATCCTTTAAATTTATTTTAATTTATAAAAAAAGTTTTTAAGGTCTTCACATTTACCTCATTAGATTCTCCATCTTGATCTGGGGTATATTTAATTAAAAGATATTATTTTTTTTATTATTAATATTTTTTGTATATTTAATTTTCAATTTATTTAAATAAATAATTTTTATTATATAAATTATCATTATTATTTAATGATTTTTATTAAAACAAAAATTTTTTAGCTATTTTAACTTAATTTTCATTTAAATTTTTAATTAATTATTTATTATTCATTTTTTATTATATGATACTTTTTCTTCATTTTTTGCTATTAAAATTTACACTTAATAAAAGCAGTTTATTTGATTTGCATTGTAATATTTTTAATTATAAAAGTTAATTTAAAACATTAAAGTTCTTTTAATTTATTTGATTTGTTT